TGTCCTGTCAGTCAGTTGCACCAACCTCAAGGCTCTACCCTTAATTAACAGACAGGTGGTACTCCATTTGACATCTCCCAAAACGTCAGTCACACCCACAAAGGCAGTGTCTTGTGTGGGAATTTTAACAAGAGCGCAGGGGAGGGGGGGGTCCATCAGTTTGTTTTTAAGAAAAATAGTTTTTCGTTTTCAAGAAAGAAAAACAAAAATGTCAAGAAAGGTGAATGTTAAACACAGTTTGCAATAAACCTTCAAATCTCTGATTGCAAAGAATGGCATTCAAAAATACATTCTCTTGTAGTTGCCATGACAATAAAAATGAGGTTTGTGGGTGGGGTGAAAGCCTGACAAAAACTAAACTTTATTTTTTGTTAAATTTACAATTTTAGACAAAGAAAAACTATTCTGGAGACACTATTAAGTTTAGGCCTGTCTGGTTCATGGCCACAATAGAAGAGCACCCAGTTAGGATCAAACTCTTTCACAATAAATTAACATTCTGTTGCACCCATCTTCCACACTCCAAACTTAACTAATTATTTTTAGTTTCAGCAAGTGCTTTTTTTTTGGGGGGGGGGTTACAACAACAAAAAGGTTTGTAGGAAGACAACGAATGGCTGCAGGATTAAGTTTTGTTTTGTAATTCCTGCAACTTAATCAAGTTTTGTTTCTTTCTCTGTCTCTTTGATTGAAAAATCTTCACAAAATTACAAAATGTGTGTGTGGGGGGGTTAGAATACTTACAGTTATACAAAAGAAAAAAAAAGAGCGTGAGAATTGACAAAAAAGTCTTAAATCAATGCACGATTTGGCATTTTGGGTTGGAGTCCTAAAAATTGAGAAACTTGTTTTTTTTTTTTTTAGAGATTAAAAAACTTAAAACAATGTTGTTTCAGCAGTGGCATATATTGATTGCAATTCGCACATCTTGTGTGTGCATTTGAATAACCAGTTTCTCTACAATCAGTCAACTGCAATGAGAGGCGATTTCCCATTTTGCACATTCTTCCAGTTAACGTAGAAAGAGAATACTTTGTTAAACTTGATAAATAAAACTACATAATTATTCAATAGAGAATAGAATGTTTTTTTTTTCCTGTCTGAAATTCTGAACATAAGTGTGTGTGTATATATATATATATAGAGAGAGAGAGAGTCTTACTCTTATTGCCATCGTCTTTTCATGTTGAATTGAATATAGTCTAATGTTAATTATGTTTTATGAATATATCCTGAAGATGGTCTACTAGACCGAAACGTCTGACGTTGACATTATATTAACATTAAAACAGCATAATTGCATATTAGGATTTTTGTTTGTTTTTTCCGTATATTTTTCTTATATATATAAAAATCCCGTTTTGGGTGTTTATAGGGAGATAAACATTAACAAAGATTAACAAACAACACAATTGTTTTTTTATTATTATTACTAATTATTTAACACTTGCTATCCCTGATGACATGGAATTGACCTGCCTCAATAAAATAAGTTTGGAAAGACCTGAATTCTGAATGGAGCATGTGTGCTAGCAGCAGATATGTTCAAAACAATTCTTTCTTTAAATATCAATTAGAGAAAAAAAAAATTTAAACCGATCATCCTAAAAATCTACTTAATTACACAGACAAGCCTCGTCATTTTCAATTTCATTATGGGGTGGGGAAGCACGGATTGGTTAGAACTAGGGTCATCAAAGCCAATAAAAGGAAATATTGCAAAAGCATAAACATTTAAAAAAAAAAAAAAAAAAAAAAAAAAATCAAAGTGTTCCTTCAAGAACAGATCCATGTGTTTCAAGAGTAAAGGGGAGGGGGGCATTTTTTTTTTTTTTTTGAAAAAAAAAAAGAAAGGGGAGTGCAGAGTTGCCTCCCCTGATATTGAAATCCACAGACTTTGGAACAGACAAGAGGAAAAGATTTGGAATCAAAATTAAACCTTTGGATTTCTGAGGGCAATCGTTAAGGGGCTACAGTTAAGTGCAATTTGGAACCAATACAGAAATTTAGGGAATTCACCTCTGCTTTGTGTTGTATCAATAAAAAGTCTTGTCACTGGTTTGCCACTTTGTTGGAATTCTTTCAGTTAAATGAGTCCCTGCATTCTGTTTACATAGGAAAGGAAATGAGTCTGTACTGTCAGTACCAACCAACCACGCTGTGTTAACCATTTTTTACATAGCAATAGGAAGCTTCAATTGAAAATGACAGTAGATATGTACTAAAAAAAAAAAAAATTAAATAAATAAATAAATGAAAATGGCAAAAATCTTTCCTCAATCATTTTCCCACCCGTCCAAGAAACTTGATGGCCGGAGAAGAGAGAGACAGAATATTGGCGACAAGTAACTGCTTTCTTCATTAGGCATGACCGCCCCCCCCTCCCTCAATGTCCAGCCAAGTGAACAAAATTTAATTGGGAAGAAAGAGATGCAGCAGAAAAGTTGGCTCAGGATTCATAAATTAGAATCACTCACACACACACACCCAAGAAAATTGGAAGAACGAGATCTACCCTCAGCCCCTCCCTGGTACCATTATCATTCAATTTCTTAAGCTTACCAGGAGTTGGCTCAAATGGAATTTGTGTTTTTCTCTATTGAGACCAAAGCTTTCTTAGAACCCCCACCCCCACAGCTAAAAGTGCAATTTTGATAAATTTTCTTCGAATAAATAAATTAAAAAAAAAAAAAAAAATAATCATCCTTACCAAAAAAATTAAACAACAATTTTGTTTCCAATCAAGTTTAAGAAATTCACGAATAGCCTGTTATATAAGTATACATTGGCTGGTACACTGACATCAAAATGGGTCAAATTACTCATTTTACCTACAGCATTTGGTTTTTATTACAAGAAGGAAGACGAGAAAGAAAAGAAGAAGTGTAGAGAGAGCAGAGTGAAGGACCCACACGCAGGACGGATAGGGGGCAGACTGATCGATGAGCCTGGGAGACAAAATCCATTTTTTAATTTCCCCATCCCCCTCAACCTTATCTTGATGGACCAAAGTAAAGTATGAATTAAAAAAGAGAGGGGCCAGAGGGACAGGGAGTGCCTATCCCCCACCCCAATCATGCATTTAAGTAGCTGTCATTTCATAAACTTACCTACACTAAGATCCTCATCACCAAGGTATTTTATGAAAACGCAAAGAATACACGCTCGGTAGAAAACATTTCTCATAACATATGAAAATATGTCCCCTGATTTGATTTCTTGGCAGGGTTTGTCAGGATAAGTTTAACAGAACACCCTCCCCAAAAATGTCATAAAATATACAATGGAGTGAAAAATGGCAGAATACATTCATTACTTAAGAAATTAAATGACAACTTGAGGTCCTATAAAAATCAGGGAAGTTCACTCGATCCTACGTCTGGGATTTGAAGAAACTGAATTAAAAACTGGGGTGGGATGGAGCAGGGATCAGTTTTGTTATTTATAATTAAACTGACCCCCCATTTAATGTCCTTACACATTACTGCCCAACTGTAACACTGTCATAATTATTTTTGCATCAACACCCAGCATCTCAAAAATATGATCTTAATGAGTTAGAAATTTTTTTTTTTTTTAAATCCTTTTTTTTAAAAAAAGGAAACCAATAATTGCAGATTTTATGGTGGGCGTCAATTGATTTTGTGGGGGATAATTTTTGTTGATGGTAATATGTAAACTGATTCCTTCTTTACTGTTTGAAGTGATTGTTTAGAATTTTTTACCTCAAACTACATAATTTTACTTAGAAGCCGATTTGGCCAATTCTAAAATTAGGTCAGCAGTCTTTGTGAAAGAAAAAAAAAAATCAAAAAAAAAAAAAAATCAAAAGATGTTTTGAATTCTTATCAGTCAATTTTATCAGAAAGGTGAACTCAGAAAAACATGTCTGTAATTGAATTGATATTTTTGTCAACAAACAAGCATTTCCACAGTTATTCCAATCTGAAAAAAAAAAAAAAAAAAAAAAAAAAATTGACTGACCTAATGTTTCAATTTCAAAGAATTAAAAAAAAAAAAAAAAAAAAAAAAAAAAATCACTCTGAAGAATTAGTGTCCACCAATGTTTGATCAGAAAACCAACAATGTTGTTCATAATTTTGCTTCTTCACAAAGAATATTTCATTTTTTTCAATTTCAATCTCTTCTGACGAATAGATAGCGAATACATTTCTTTCCTTAATGTCCCAACAAGGACGTAAAAAAAACATTGAAATATTAAGATTAAATTTCCAATTGCTTTACAAGTATGTTTTTGAGATTAGCCAATTTAAATTTTCATTTTGGAAATTTCCTTCAAAACAAAACAAAAACAAAAAAAAATAAAACTGATATTGAACTTCTTCACTTCCAGGAATCGCATTTCATTTACAAGTAAATTCTTCTAACTCAAGAATGAAAGCAAGAAATTACCATTCAAGTGAAGATCCCCAACCCCTGAAGAAAAATAGGCAACAAGAGACAGAGAGAGAATTAACATAGTAAATTAATCGATTTTGCAAGCATTGGGATTCAAATCTCAGAGTGACTGAGTAGATTTGAGAAAAGTTCTTTTTTGAAATTAAAAAAAAAAAAAACAAAAAAAAACAAAAAACAATAAACTTCAAACAATGTTCCAGAACTCTTCATTACAAAATTGTTTTTTGGTAGGCACCATATTCCAATTCCTGCCATTGGACGATTTATCATCATCAGCAATAATAATAATAATGAGAGATACAAAAAAAAAAAAAAAAAATGGAAAACAATTTATTGATATTCATGTATGATAGATTTTACTAGGAGAGACTTCAGTGGTCATACAACTGCTTAATGTCAAGATTCCTGCTCATAGGCTCAATCAATATCATGCCTAACCCAGTGTAAATAAAAAATAAAGATATCCATTCCTGAACTATTTTTTAGGATAAATTGTATCTGCTCGGACTTTGCCCCATTGGGATTATCCCATGCCCCCACTCCCTGGACCCTCCTACTGACTTCTAATTTTCCAATATATTCTAGTCTATCTTAAAGAGAATTGGGGTGGGGATGGAAGAGATGAGGAGAAAAAAAAAGAAGAAAAAAAAAAAAAAAGAAACAAAAGTGGGGGGGAACAAGAGGGGGAGAAGAAACAAGAGGGGGGGAAGAAAAGAAACAAGAGGGGGGGGGAGAGAAAAGAAAAAAAGTGGGGGAGAGAAAAGAAACAAAAGTGGGGGAGAGAAAAGAAAACAAAAGTGGGGGGGAGAGAAAAGAAACAAAAAGTGGGGGAGGAAACGGAAGAAAAGAAAAGTGGGGGAGAAAAGGAAATGGAAGAAAGGAAGAAAAAAAAAGAAACAAGTGGGAGGGAAGGAAATGGAAGAAAGTGAGAGCCAAAGTTTAGTTCTCGTTTCAAATTCCGTCTGGAGAATCAAAAATATTTTTTTTATTTTTGCCAATGTTTCGGCAATCAAGAAGAGGAGGATGGCTTCAATTCTCCATGAAGAGAAATGAAGAGAAATTGGAAAAAAAAAAAAAAAGAAGAAGATATTGTAACCAACATCAAGTCCACGAAAAAAAAAGGGATTCAATTGTCAAAAGAAAATTTGGGATCATAATTACTCTTCTGAAAACATATCAGATACGATTATGGTTCTTGTTGTTACCTAATTTTTCCTTTCTCAACTCCCTGCCCTGCCCCTGGTTACATGTCTCAAAGTGATTTTCCTAGGCCAAGTCACTGACTGATGCTTAGAAATTATTCTTTCTCTAATTAAAAAAAAAAAAAGGGGGAATAAAGGAGATAGAGGGGGGGAAAAGAAAAAGAAAAGAAAAGAAGTGTATGTAGCACCATTTTCATTTTCCACTGCCTCACTTAACACACCCGACAAAACCTTTGTTCATTCCTGGTTTAAAAAAAGAAAAAGAATTACCTGTGTCCCATAATAGTTGGGACATTTAGTTTATGAAACTTATATGTAAATGTCCCAACTCTTCTCGGACAACAAAGGTGTCAGAAAAACTAACTCATTTGCTGCCATTCAAAAATAGAAACATTAAGGCGAGAAAGGGGGGGGATTATTGTTTTGTCACTTTTTTTTTTTAAATTCTAAGTCAAAATTTTCTCAATGAGGAGGGGTGGGGACAAGTTTACTTAAATTTTCTTATCAGATTAAAAAAAAAAAAAAAAAAAAAAACGAAAAACGAAAAACAAAAAAAACAAAAAAAAAACAAACAGAAGCCGCATTTACTCAACAAGCTCCCTAAACAAAGCAGACAATTTTTCAATTTTTCATTTTCTTTTTTCTCAGATTTCTTTTTGCTTTTCAGCCATCCATATTTTTTTTTTTTTGAACATCATTTTGTTTTCTTTCAGTACCCAAGGTTTCTTGCTTACAAAAACTGAAACAGCAACGTGAGGAAAAAGAAGAATACGTCAAGATTTTGTGCCGTTAAAAAATCGATAAACATTTTGAGGGGAAAAAAGGGTGGGAGAAAGCGGAAGGAAATCCATGAAAAATGATAGGAAGAAAATATAATTTTTCTTTTGTGCATTGGGAATAAGAGACGAAGAAGAAGAAGAAAAAAGTGGAAATCTGAGTGGATATTATGGAGAGAGAGAAAAAAAGATTGGCAAAAAGAAAAAACCCAACCACTACATGGTTTTTGCTACATAAATGCACATTGTAAAAGGTGTTTGGACTGCAGTGTTTCATGTTGGAAACCAAGTCCTTTCCCTATACCAAATAGGGGGATTTCAATATTTGGGTTAGAATAAAACAGACATTATGATAAATGGGGTGCAGAGAAGCAAAAAAGTTGAAAAAATAAAAAAAAAATAAAAAATAAAAAATAAACAAAAGTTTTTTTGATTTTTTTTCTATTTAGGAAGTTTCAGTCATGAGAAAAAGTGTGTGTGTGTATGTGTGTGTGTAAAACTTTCTAATTCCTTTTGAACCAAACATCGCCACAAATACAATTTTGGTCACTTCATAAAAAATTTCAAATGCCACGAGGGATTTGAGATAATAATTGTTTTTGTTATTTTTAACCCTGGTGAATTATGTATGAAAGATGTGAGTTGACACTTAAATGCAAGTGGAAAATTTTCAAAATGTATGCAAAAGTTCTGAGAAAATAAAGAGAGAGAAGAGCAAAGAGAGAGAGAGAGAAGAGCAGAAAGAGAGAGAGAGAGAGAAGAGCAGAAAGAGAGAGAGAGAGAGAAGAGCAGAAAGAGAGAGAGAGAGAGAAGAGCAGAAAGAGAGAGAGAGAGAGAAGAGCAGAAAGAGAGAAGAGCAGAAAGAGAGAAGAGCAGAAAGAGAGAAGAGCAGAAAGAGAGAAGAGCAGAAAGAGAGAAGAGCAGAAAGAGAGAAGAGCAGAAAGAGAGAAGAGCAGAAAGAGAGAGAGCAGAAAGAGAGAGAGCAGAAAGAGAGAGAGCAGAAAGAGAGAGAGAGAGAGCAGAAAGAGAGAGAGAAGAGCAGAAAGAGAGTGAGCAAAGAGAGAGAGAGCAGAGAGAGAGAGAGCAGAGAGAGAGAGAGCAGAGAGAGAGAGCAGAGAGAGAAAACAATTTAAAAAATAAAATTTTTCTTCAACTGTGTATTTCGCCTCCTGTTCAAAAAAAGAAAAAGTCCAGAGTTCTTTTGTTTCTCCCAACGAGGATCAAAAAAACCCTATCGTATTTTTAAATAAAACAAAATTGAAGAGAAGACAGTCTATTCATCTAAGAATCACAGAATGACTCTCTATATATTGCGTAGTTTCTGGCATCACAGCTCCCAAAGTCTGATGACCCTTGCATTTCAATTAAGCTCAAGTCCAAAATATTTGCTTCTTAGTTAAATAAGGTTTTAAACACTAGAAAATATGGTTGACCAAGACAAAGGTTGCTTAACTAGATGTGTGTGGGTATGTGTGGGAGAGATTCAATTTGACTGCCACAAAATTAAGTGTACGGTTAAGTCTGTAAAGTTAGCATCAATTAAAAAAAAAAAAAAAAAAATTTAATAAATTTCTTTCATTCATGATTGTAATTCCCCCAGAGGAACCTAAACACGAAAACTTGTGCCATGTTTTACTCTCTATACATTTTATAGAGTTTGTACCATGTTAAAGCCATGCTTCATAAATGCACACTGACCCCTCCCCCCCACACACACACCTTAAATTAAGGGACATAATTAAGCGCAAGAAGCAATTATGAGAAGACATCCAAATGTAGACCCATTTAGTAAAGAACTTTCAAATTGAGACCCCCCAAAAACAACCCAACCCCCAACACTTTACCACCGGAAATATTCAAACAGAATTGTTGTTAGATGCTGGTCACATTTCTGTTTCACTCGTGAAGGAAGGAAAATGTTTTTAAATCCTTGCAATCAAAACATTCATTCAAAATAGGAAATATGTTTTTAACAAAATCATTGAAGGAAAACTCGTGACAATCAAAATATTAATTTTCATGATGTCACCTCAAGAATAGAAAACGTTTCCAATTGATAAGACATAAATGCATCTATGAAGTTTTCTTTCTCATGCTTATTGCAACCATTAAAGCCAAAATGCTTCTTTCTTTTTATTTGAGGAGACGGAATACACAGCGCAGATAAAAGAATGTGGAAACTTCTTTACAAGTGTGTGTGTGTGTAAGATTTTTTTTTCTAACACAAATGTTATCAATAAAAAGGATACATTATAATAGATTAAAGGGGAGGGAAAATCTTTGTCAAGACTTCAATGATAATTGTTGCTCGTAAAACAATACAAGTATTTCAAGAAACAAATTTGTTATAACAAACAATGCAAAATACATTATCACACAATGGATTCTTACATAAATACACAGTTTTGGCATATGAGCAAAAATTGTGTGTGTGTGTGTGTGTGTGTGTGTATAGATAGAGTTTGTGTATGTGATTAGGCAGTAACTTTTTGACATCTTGCATCAAATGTGACAAATATTATGAAGCTGAAAATAATTTTCTTTTTTAACTAATATCTTTTTTCTTTTTTAATTTTCTTTTTCCAGGATGACAGATGGTTTTCTGGAAGAAGAGGTTGTCTGAGATGCAAGACGATTTGATCTTTGTGAAAATATCATAAAAATATGAAGGAGGAGGGGGGGATCATTTACTTGGTTTTGTTTTGTGTATGTGTACATGTGTGTGAATGAAAATGGTGACAAGGAGATTTTTAATTAAGCAAAAATAGCAAGAAAAAGAAAAAAAATGGGTTTTGTTTTTCCTTACATTTTTAAATCCGTCATTCACGCAAGTGTTTTTTTTTTTCCTTTCTCTCTTCACGCATTTCAAATAATCCACAGCTGACAAAGTTCTTAAAAAATAGTAGCCTTACATTGCTTCAAGCACTTTTGCCAAAAATGTAGGTATAGTGTAGGAAAGATTGGGGGGGTTGGAAAGAGGGGGGGTTGGAAAAGAGAGGGGTTGGAAAGAGAGGGGTAGAGAAGAGGGGGTTGGAAGGGTTGGGTAGAGAGAGGGGGTAGAGAGAGGGGGAGAGAGGGGTAGAGAGAGGGGTAGAGAGAGAGGGGTAGAGAGAGGGGTAGAGAGAGAGGGGTAGAGAGAGAGGGGTAGAGAGAGAGAGGGGTAGAGAGAGAGGGGAGAGAGAGAGGGTGGAAAAGGGGGGAGTGAGGGGGGGAAAAGAGAGAGGGGGGGTGGACAAGATAACAAGGCTGACTTTTAAAAATTAAAAACAAAAAACTCATTGAAATCTAGGAATTATTTTTAAAAAAAAACTTTAAAAGATTTATTTTTCTTTTTATTCTTGGCCCCATGTCATATATTTTGTGTTAGATTTTTTGACATTAGCAAATAAAATGAACCCTAGAGTTGAAAAATGAAGAAAAACTAAATATAATCAAAGCCCGTTAACCTCAACTTGAAATGTCAATATATTTAATGCAGACAAGATGAAATCGTTCCTTGACAATGACATGAGGCATTTTCCTTTCTTTTTACAAATACTTTTGATAAAACATTTCAGAATTGATATACATCATCAGTTTTTATTATTTCAAGTGTCATTCTTTGTTGCTCTCAAAAGGAAAATGGGCAAATACACTAAAAATCTTGAAGAAATCCTATTTATCAAATGGTAACATTATTAGAAGCGACTCTAATGGAACAATTTTCAGACATTTGGTGATCTTATCCGACAATTTTACAATCCTACGAGCAATTTACTTTTTGTTCTTTTTGCCATTCCTACGTACCAGTGGGAGGATTGAAAGTTAAAAGAAAATACATCCTTGTATTATTTTGAACTATTGCTCACATCTTAGTTGATATAAATATTATTATAGATAACATTTCGACCAAGTAATAATTTCTGGTCATCATCGGGTGTCCATTGGTTGATATGAGATATCTGCTGACTGTGATATTTCATCCCTCTCATATCAGTTATTGTTCGTCAGAAGTTCAATCCTGGCATCTGGCAGTGACCCTCTAATTCAGCAGGAACAAACAATAACTGGTATCACAGGGGGACAAAATATCACAATCAAAAGATATCCCATATCAGCCAATCAGTAAAAACCTGATGATGACCAGAGGGTACTTGGTCGAAACACTGCGTCTATAGCGACATTTATATCAACCAAGATGAGAACGATAGTTCGAAATAATACAATATTAACAATTACTTATCTTGGAAATGGAAAATACTAAAATACATCCAATTGGATGCCTTTTGAAAAATCTAACTAAATGAAACAATTTACAATGTAGTCTCCAGACTAAACACTCCAGAAAAAGGAAAAAAAGAAAAAAAAAAAAAAATGAAATGCCATTGGTTCATTTTGAGGATTGCAGCTTTGATTGCCTTTTCTCAAAATCTATTTCCTGGTAAGGGAGGAATGACTTCAAACTATGAATACCATTCGTACCAATTTCATTGTTTAGTATTATTTATTCTTATGTTCGGATAAGATCTCAAACAGTCTGATTCTTTTTCTAGCATTTATTATTTAAACATATTTTACGCATAATGCCAATATAATATTACATTAACCGCTTTCAACTAATTGGCACAAAATAAGTGTATCTTCATGTTTACCCTTAATTAAAATAGATATCAGTTTGTTGCTAATATCTAGAAATAAATGACAAAATATGAAAATGGGAGAGACATTTGAATTATATTGACAGTTTCAATATTAAAATAAATGCGAAAAGGAAAACACAGAATGGAGAAAAGAGGGGGAAAAAAATAAAGTCACTTTACAAAGATTCATTCTCCTCCACACTCAAATTTTTTTTTTTAAAAGTCAATTTAACTAAATAACTTGAAACATGAAAAAAGTGAAGATCAGGCTATTATTTTTAAACTAAAATTTAAGGGATATATATATAATATATAATCTTGAAATGCCAACAAGCATCCATAAACTATAACAGAAAAATTCCTACTTCACTTTTAGATATAAAATAAAAATAATAAAAAAAATGGCTGGTAATTGGCCATCCAGAATTTACATTTTGATAAAACAGATAAAAAGTAGAGGAAAATATTGACAGCACTTTCTTCATTTTTTTATCTTCAGTCTTTGTTAGTAATTAAACAAATAACAATGAAAATAGAACAGAGTTAAAAAAAAAAAAAAAAAATTTATATATATATATATATATATATAAAAAATGTGCAATAAATAAATAAATGATAAAAATAATAAAAAAATTCAAAATATACCAGATATGATTTTTTTTTCCTCTCCTCAGTGCAGATTTTTCAGTCATCATAAAAATGAATGTTAATCGAAATAAAAAGAAAAGAAAATAAAAAGAAAAGAAAAGAAAAAGAAAAGAAAATAAACAGAAAAGAAAAAAAGAAAATAAAAGAAAAAAGAAAAGAAAAAAAAAAGAAAAAAGAAAAAAGAAAAGAAAAGGAAAAAGAAAAAAGAAAAGAAAAGGAAAAAGAAAAAAGAAAAGGAAAAAGAAAAAAGAAAAGGAAAAAGAAAAAAGAAAAAGAAAAAAAAAAAGAAAAAAAAAAAAAAAGAAAAGAAAAGGAAAAGAAAAGAAAAGAAAAAGAAAAAGGAAAAGAAAAGAAAAAGAAAAGAAAAAGAAAAGAAAAAGAAAAGAAAAAAAAGAAAAAGAAAAGAAAAAAGAAAAGAAAAAGAAAAGAAAAAAGAAAAGAAAAAAGAAAAAAGAAAAGAAAAAGAAAAAAGAAAATAAAAAGAAAGAAAATAAAAAGAAAATAAAAAGAAAAAAGAAAATAAAAAGAAAAAAGAAAATAAAAAGAAAAAAGAAAATAAAAAGAAAAAAGAAAATAAAAAGAAAAAAGAAAATAAAAAGAAAAAGAAAATAAAATAAAAAGAAAAGAAAATAAAAAGTAAAAGAAAATAAAATAAAAAGTAAAGAAAATAAAAAGTAAAGAAAATAAAAAGTAAAGAAAATAAAAAGTAAAGAAAATAAAAAGAAAAGAAAAATAAAAAGAAAAGAAAAATAAAAAGAAAAGAAAAATAAAAAGAAAAGAAAAATAAAAAGAAAAGAAAAATAAAAAGAAAAGAAAAATAAAAAGAAAAGAAACAAACAAAAGTTGACACTTAAAATGAGACTTTATTTTAAATGTGCAATGCACAAGTTTTTTTTTTTTTTTCTCCTGCAGACAGTCGGGGTCCCAATAACCAAAAGGCTGGATGAATAGCGGCAAATGGTGTCAGGAGTGTTTGTTATTTCCTTTTACACTTTCGACAACAGCAGCAGTCATGGCAGAGAGCTTGTCCAAACAACCAGATTAAAGGAAGGAGGGGAGAGGGAGAAAAAAAGGGGGTATGAGAGAGAGAGAGGGGGGGAGGGTCCACTACTTCCTCCTGTTTTTCTTTTTTTTTTGACTGCTGCCTCAATGTACTTGATTGGTTACTGAAGGTATAAAGAGATTTTATCTTTCTTTTCTTTGTTAAAAGACGCAACGGTGGAATTTGTCAGAGAACAATAAAAAAAAAAAAAAAAAAAAAAAACAGTAAAAAGAACAGGGATAAATTGAGTATGCAAAGGCCAAAGAACGACCCTACCCGGTCCATAGCCGAGAGGCACAGTTGTTCAGTATCCACCTTGGTAGCCACCGCCACCTCCTCTGTAGCCACCTCTGTTGTAACCTCCACTTCCTCCTCGGTAGCCGCCTCGATAGCCGCCACCTCCTCCTCCTCTCCAGTTGTTGGTAAAGCCAGTACTCATCCCTCCACGATAACCACCACCATAGTTGCTGCTGTAGCCACCACGAGACCCACCTTCAAAGTTGCCTCCTCGGCTGAAACCCCGGAAACCTCGGCTGCCTCCACCGAACCTGGCAAATTTATTTGGAGGACCATTTTTGCTTTTAAAAAGAAAAATAGAGAGCAAAGAAAATTAAAAAAAATCACATTTGAATGGGAACATTTGATTGTTAAAAAGGAAAAAAAACAAAGTAAACAAGGGAAGTAACATTGTGCTTGAAAAATGTTAGAAAACATTCTGGCACCTTATTTGGTTTCATTTCTACCTCACACACACAAACACACACCCATTTGTAATGCTTTGAGAAGTTAAGAGACAGTGATTTGTTCACTCAACCAATTTCTTTTCTATCAACTATTGTGGCATACCAGTAACAAGACTCAACATAAATCTGAATTTGGTTTCTACATTTCTCATGCCAATAAACAGCATGCATACACACACATATTATATATATATATATATATATATATATATATATATATATATATATATATATATATATAAATAAAAAAACCAGAATTTTTCTTTTTTTTTGCTCAAGAGCCACTTGAAGTACCAGGTTAGAGACCAAGAGGCAGAGTTTATGATGGGGGATATGTGAGGGGGGGGGAATAATGGTTAACTGTAAACTTGAACAGGTTAAGATTGTAGTGATCAGAGAAGCATCCACTTGGAAGTTGGTTCTACAAAGCAGTGGGTTCATGGGAAGAAGCTGCTCAAGTAGAACTTACATCTCACCAATGGAATACAGAGGGGAATGAGGGGGTGGTTTGTTACAATGGGTGTGGCATGAAGGCTAGAACTGGTGGAACTCGTCTGAGCACTTTCCATGGAAGTAGCGACAGAACAGTGAGAGGCTTGCAGTATTTTGTCTATAACAAAGGGGGTTACAGGGTGTAAAATAATTCATCACCCACAAGGACGTGGAAAACACTTTTGGACTATCAAGACTGGAAAGTGAAAACAGTGCAGGATATGGCAGAAGTACCCCATTTTAGGCCTGATCTGGTTCTTATAAAAATAGAGGATAGCAGATCAGGTCAGGTACTTACTGGAGCGGTGCAGGAAACTGATCATTTTTCTTGTATCTTTAGTAATGGATTGCATGTACAAGTTCCACTTGAGGATTGGGTTAAGTTTAAATTGCAATAGGTGATCAAAGCATATGGCCTCCTGAGAGAACACCTGTTCATTGCAATTATGTGGTGTTGTAATAACGCCCAAGGAAGACATTAGGAGTATAGAAGAAGGTGAAGGTGTTAGAGACAGCAGTCTGGTAAAATGGCATCTGATATGAAACTGTAAAAAGCAGAGGTGTATCAATGAATTTCTCCAGTTGCATCTATTGACATCATTAATGCTAGACAAACACTTAAAGAGACCAAACAGTGAACGTGAGCACAGTAGTGTCAGTAATGATGTGAATGACAGACCACATTCTGGGAAGCCTTGCATAGTTATCAACACACAAAACTTGGTCTATTGTTATTTTGTCCCCTGGAACAGTTGCTCAATTGTTTTTTTTTTCTTTTTTATTCATTTATATATATTTTTTTTTTAACAGCTTAACCCCTTTGCAGATTATTTGAAGTCAGAAAATAATTTTTTTTAGATTGTAAGAATTTTGTTTTGAGAAACAGTAATTGTTTAGTGATACAAGTTTTACTAATTAACCCATAGCTGAGAACAAGAAGTGGATTCATAACTTTCCCAAGAGTATTTGCATGTAAGTAAATATAATGAGCCCAACTAGAATTGGAATTCTGCTCTCCAATTAACAATTCGGAGCCATTATCCATTACACATAACCTGTACATCCAAGCTTACAGCAGCTGGTATTCTCAAACAGTCACATCTCTAACTCTTGACCAGGCTTTATGTTGCTTAACTTCAGTGTTAATATGAGAACCAGTGTTTCAATGTGATCTGGCCATAAGCCTTGGAACAGTTCCAACTTCTATGGAAATATATGGTGAAGGGGGGCATTGAGCAGGAATGGTATATGTTCGAATCTCACCAGGGTCAATTTATCAAGCAAGTAACTGTATCATTGTGACTGTGTACTGACCTTATTCTACCAATGATTATACAAGATTGTATGTTCCCTCACAGAAACTAAGTTTTGCCCAGCATAGTTGCAGTATAAGACAAACAGCCGAGAGGCATATTCGAATAGGAGTGGACAGCCAAGCCCTTTGTGTACCTCAAAGTGATCAATGTTCAGGGTAAACTGGTATTCAAATAAAGTTAGGGAACTTCTTGCTGTTAATGGCCCTATACATTTTTTGGTGATATAATGTTGATCTTTGAGATGTCAAAAATAATTTATGTCAATGTCCTTAGTTTTTTGTTCAATTAAAAATTTTTTAATCCCTCTGGGAAAAAAAAAAAAATTATGGGCCCATAGCATTTAAAATATTTGGAACAAAGGTAAAAGGATTCCTCACTCAAAAATTTACATAAGAAATTATAAAGGCAACAACTTTCAGCTTCATATTTAAGTATCAAATTTATAAGGTGCATAAATTGACAAAACTATGATTTTGGCATGACAAATTGTTCTAGAAAAATGTATAAACCCTAGACAAAACTGTCCACAAAGCGAAGCTCCGTCACATGATCTTCAGACATGTAAAAAAAAAAAAAAAAAAAAAAAAAAAAAATGTTTTACCTAACTAGTCTATTGATATCATGAAAATAACCATTTTTAAGGATGTTAAGAAACAAAACAAAATCAAAAAAAAAAAAAAAAAAAAAAAACTGAACCATTTTCAAAGTGTAATAGTGACATGTTTATAAGAAGAATGACTATGGTTTTTACATAGTTTATTAGGTCAGAAATAAGAGAAAAACTGATTTAAATGTTGTACCTGACATACTTTGTAAATGAAAAAGCTTTTAAAGTGAACAGCATCTTTTTATATTTTGGACATTTTCAGATCCTTATAAAGATAAAAAAAGTATCTAAGTTACACATAAGCTGTTTATATTTTGTAATCTACACTAAGTATTAATTATTGTCACGAAGTTTTGATTCTGTACATGCAATATCCTCGGAGCTAAGAAGAATGTCAGAAGTTTGTTGAAAACCTTATTTGGCTGGCATATTTGACAGTGTGTGTCCAGGTGTAGGTATATAGAGATGAAATAACCAATATATAATTGTTTGAATGCTGATAAAAATAACTGATTTTTCTAAATAAAGGCTTTGGTGTCAATGGGTGACAGAAAATCATTTGCATATCACATTTCATTATTGTTCTGTTCTAAATCAGAAAAGCTGCCAATGTTGTCAAAAATTGATGGCTATTAACAAAAAGGAAAGGAGTTATTTGCTGTACTGTATGTTTAAATAACTCCAGTTAACTAATCATGGGGCCTGGAAGTGTGTCTGGTGGCAAGAGAAAGAGGAAGAATGATATCTACTTACTCAGACTGGTCAGCAATTCCAAAGCGTCCTGCACTGGGCTGAGACAAGACCCTCACGCTATTCATCAGGGAAGATTCTTGTTGGCTAGGCTGGGCAATCACGGAAGGATTTTGAGTTGTACGCACAATCAGAGCTTCCATTGCTGGGCGTAATGCAACAATTTTTGATGCAACATTTGGGTCCATTTTTAGATTGATCCTGTTAAACAAAAAAATAATTTCAGAATTTTTATATAAGGTTCTTCCAAAAATTTGTTCAAAAGAGAAAAAGAGAAAAAGAGAAAAAAAAAAAAAATAAATAAAAAAATTAAAAAAAAGTATACCATGATAAGGCCCCAAACAATGAAAACAACATTTTATTGTGAAAATATTTATTATTATTATGAGTAAAATTCTTGCAAAATCAAATAAATATCAGATTCTCACAAAACTTTCAGGACTTATTCACAAATGAATGAAATTATTTTTTTTCTTTTTAAAAAATCTTGGTAAAAATATATCTATTTTTTTCATCTGTTACTCCTCCATTACGTAATTTTATGAAATTTTGAGAAATTAAAATTCCACTCTCTTCATATTAGTTAAAAGCAGTAGTCCTTGGAGAATTTAAACCATCAATTTTTTTTTTTTGTCAAACATCAACACCATTTAGTGAAAATCTGCCATGAATCATAATATAAAAAATGCAATAAAACTACCACATTATTTAAATGGAAAGTTTTTAATCGTTTTATAAATAAGACATTAAGGGCACGATTATCTTAACAATAATGAATTTTTACAAGAACTGTTTTCATTTTTTTTTTTTTATTTTAATTAGGATAATTTTAGCTAATAATTTAAATTTTAAATATTTTAAAATTCTGTATTAATTCCACCCTTTTAGATAATATTATTATTAAGTAAAAACTATATTGGAAATAAGAGCGATAAGTATAGTAAATTTAAAGCTAATATTTCTAAAATTCACTAAAACATTAGATTACAAAGAATATTTTCCTAAATTCTTAATATTACTGAATACTTAAAAAGTTATATATAAAAAGGTGCTCAATGTTATATTCAATTATTTCTTTATGGAGTAGTACCTAATATCGAGGATGCGATGGGTAAATTGTCGCCATTTTATATTTTCAATTTCATGCATGCACATTGTTTGGTTTTGATTTTGTCAACTGCACATTATAGTAGGGTCAGTTGGACACTGTGGGGGAAAAATATCACACTGATGCAATTCACTCCGCTAGAAATTTGGAAACATACTGCCATACTGTACTACCGGAAACTCCAATATGAAAATATAACTGATGTGGAACTGAGTGGCTTTGGTCAACTAAGGAGAATAGATAAAGTGAATTTAGCAACACCTCCACAATCTTCAGTGTTTTAGGTAGTTTTTTTTTATCATTTCACCTCAAGCAAGACAATAAAACCACTTATAGAAAAGGCACAGGAAAGCTACATTATGGTAGTGGAAAAGTGACTGAAGCCGAGATGCCAGGTTAGGACCAATAAGATTGCAGATTCTTTGGATTTCATCAAGAATCTCTACATATATAGATTCTAATAGTTTCAAATATATATATATATATATATATATATATATATATATCAAAACACTTTGAATTTCTGAAAAAATCCTGTCATGCCAAAGAGTGACATCCTGTTCAAAGAGAAGCTGAAGCTGTTCTAGTTAGTCAAATGTATGGCCTTCTGCCAGACTAAACTAAGCTTAGTAAAGACCAATGGACCCAACTGAAGAATACAATCCAAAGATGACAACATTTTTACATAATAAACACCTAGATGACACTTTGATTTCAAGTAAAATTTTTAAAAAAATAAGGATTTAACATTGTATTTATCATTATAACTCTGTATATGACTTCATTTGCTGTACAAAAAAGTTTATCCTGCCACTTAAGGGGACTTATGCCTGAATTTGTATGAATCTATTTGAATTTCATAGTTGTGTTTTCATATCCTGCTATGGCAACAGAAAACACCTTTGAGTGAAATTAACAATAAGGATACGGCAATTGAGGAAGACAGTGAAAACAAATGCAGTGAAAAGGGAAGTCATATTTATAATCCAGGTTGCTAAAGGTTAAAAAGATCTTAGAGAGTAAAATGAATATCACAATATAATCCGATGACTCAAATAACAATTACCAGTTTCATTAATAGATGATCAAGATTTTTCTCTTTTATCACATCTCATGTCTACAGAAACGGGAGTTTACTTTTTAGCTCAGATCTACCACTTAACTCTTGATTTTGAGGACATATGTTTGAATATTTTGCAAACAAGACTTTTCTTTGGTTGCCTCTCATCTGATTAATGATTAAAAACAAAGACAAGGGATTATAACTGACCAATCATCAAGGATGACAAGACCTTCATGGTAGACAACGGACCGAGATGCAAACAGCAAGAGCTGGAGTGGAGTTACCATGGTCATTTGTTTACAGGATACAGCTCTGGTACGGATCTGCAAAGAAAAAAAGGACAGTAGATGATAAGATCATACAACACCAATACAATGCCCAAAGGTAGCCTAGAAGTGTTCTAGGCAGGGGAAGACACTTCATAAATGCAAGCTTCTTTTCACTTTGAGGTATTTTGCATGAGTGCATATGAGAGAGAGAAAGAGGGGAAAGAGAGAGTGTGTGAGAGAGAGAGAGAGATTGCATGAAAAAGTGCATGAGAGAGAGAGAGAGAGAGATAACAGGAGGAAGGGCAATGTTTTTTTTAAGTAAATAAAGATGAAAATCCGTTTGGAAAGATAAAACTTTAATACATGAATTTTGTAGAAACAAATTTTAAGTTTCATTAAAAAAAAAAAAAAAAAAAAAAGGATCTTTATTTTTTTTAAGTCTTGGTTATTGAAAAGAAGATTTATTTTTGTTTACATAGTATGCTATGTAAACAAAAATAAATCTTCTTTTCAATAACTGGAAAAATGATTTTATGGATTAAAACTATTCTAAAACAAATTGTTGTAATTTAACTCACAAGGACAATTTTTGATACAAGGTTAATTTTTATGTGAACAAATCAAATGTGAAATTGGCAGGAATTCCATACATTCGTTTTTTTTTTTTTCTTTCTTTCTTTTTTAATTTAAAAAAAAAAAAATTAAAATTAAAAGTTGTCTTAAAAGACAGCCCATCAGAACAATATGAATTAATTTTGTGTTTATATTACATAACTTTTGATTATAATTTTTTTTAAAATTTATATTGAATGGGTGAATTAATAATGTTTAAAAAGAAATTTAAAAAGATTTATTTTGAACTGAAACAGACTTTAAACTAGTGAGTTTTATAGAAAGTTCTTGAACTTTCTATAAAACTCACTAGTTTAAAGAAACATGTACATTTCATTATTTATTTATCTATTTTTATTTACAAGTAAAATAAATTTACAACTTACTTAAATTAGATGTTATTATGATCTACAGATTTTAGTTCTACTGATAGCTTAAAATCAATAAATATTTATATCCTTTATCATTAGTACCATGAATGGAAAATTAAGTTAAAAAAAAAAAAATCCAAAGAATCGTTTTTGGAATTGGAAATTAGGTTAAAAATTCTCCGTTTCCAGTACCCCCAAAAATTCCAATATTTTCAATTCCAATTAATCGTCCCATCACTAATTAAGACCCTTCAAAGAATGAGAGTTAATTGTTTGGCCTATATTTACCCAAATTACTCACTCCAGTCCAATTTCAAAATTCAGTCTTTGGTTCATTTTATTAATTTTTTACTTTTAATACCAAAAAATATTTTTTCTTCTTTACCAATAGTGAATAAATTTAAGTAACAATTCAGATATAGAGAATAAAGGGTAGATGTTGTTTTTTTTCTTTTAAATGCCATGTTCCTTCACTATATAGGTGATCATGGCTCTCCACAGATTCCTATTTTTTTTTTTTTTCAAATCTGAATTGCTATGACTTCTTGCAAAAGATAGTGAAATGGTGTTCTGCTGCCATTTCCCCTTCGAGAAATCAAAGTTGGCTTTCTTCTAGATTGGCTGCCAATCAAGGTGAGAGAAATCAGTTTAGGTGTGGAAGGGGGAAAAAACAAAAGCTTAATAGCATAATTAATAATAGGTTTGTCCAATTTTTCACAAAAAAAAATGCACAGCATGAAGAAAAAGGGCCTCAAACTTAATAAAAACAAAGTTTTATCGTGAAAAAGTTTGTTATTAATAAAAGGAAAGACCAAGGTATTTTTAAATTATTTTCTAAAATTTTTTATTCCTTTGCAGCATGTTTTAAATTTAGGTTGAAAACTTTTTTTTTTTTAGATCAGCGGTCAGGTAATATTTAGCATTGTTTTTCAGTTGAAAAGCACATTGATTGGAAAACCTTGCAAAAATCAAATAATTGTTGGATTTTAATGAAACCTTCAGAACTTATTCACAAATGAATGAAATTATTTTAGAAATGTTTGTTTTTTTTTTAAAGTCATGGTAAAAATATTTTTTTTTATATTTGTTACCACCCACCAGCTTAATTTTATGAGAACTTGAAAAATTTTATTTGTGACTCTTAATTTTTTTTTTTTCATTTTTTTTTTAAGACTCTGAAGAATATAAATCATGGATTTATTTGGTAAAAAAAATGGGCATAATTGTCCAAACTTTTACCCAAATTGTAAAAATACAAAACCCAATAAAACTAAGAAAATATTTAATTTAAAAAGCTTTTAATGGCTTCTCTGAATAACATATAGTAAGATAAATTTTATCTAAAGTCAAAATATTTTTTGATGAAAAATGAATTTTTACATTAATTTTTTTTCTATTTTAAATACATATGATAAAAAGTTGTTATATCTTTTAAAATTAAGTTTTTTTTTGTGACTCAATGGAAATGATCTCATTGTTATCTATTTTTTAAAGATCATAAATTTGAAAGCTTATTAAAATCTGACACCCGAATATATTTTTAAAATAATTTTTCAATATTCCAAAATTGTATAAAAAAATTGTCTCCAACAAAAGTATGGATGCACAGTTTTGAAATAATGTCACGTCAGGTAGAGTTGTTTCCCTTGATAGAGACCAGATGTTTTTACTTTAGAAATTGCTTTGCATTTGCTCAGTTAACACAAAAACACTTGTCAAGTTTTCTGACTAAATATTATCGCATTTTCAAAACTTTCTTTTTCTTTTCATTTTTTAAATATAAACAACTTTTCCTTTTTCAGTGTGAGACAAACTGCAAATATTATTTCATTTTTTTATTATTTTATATTCTATTTTAGGCACGGAAACAGCGCAATGGGTTTATTCTCGGAAACACAGCTTTTTAAAATGCTTTTTTTTGTCATATGAAAGACATGCAGCGAAAAAAAAATGTTGTCTGCTAAATTGTCATCAGCCAGGTGTCAAGGTGTTAAAAAAACAACAAAACACATCAAGCCATTTTTCAAACATAGGTTTGAAGAAAAAAAAAAAAAAAACTTGTTGATCCCAGTGTTGACCCAATTTTTTTTTTTTTCACTTTTTCTTATCTGGGAGTGGTGGGGTTTATTACAAGCTGGTGACAGCTTGTTCTAAACATTTATTGCTGGTTGGCTGGCTGGCTGGCTGGCCTTTGACCCAAATATGTCAAAGTCAATTTGGCTTAATTATTCATTATCAGTTATTTTTCTGAGGGAAAAAAAAAAATAAAAATAAACACCCTTCCTGGTTTCCGGTGGTTAGGAATTGCAGATAAATCTTTCACCTTTTACTAGAGATTTCCGTGGCTGGGTGTCAATTTTTTTAGCCCCTTGCAGCCATATAATTGAAAATTACCAATGGACTTTGTTGTATGAAGGAAAGTTGTTTTCCTTCAAACTAAATTTTAATGCTTGATATATAGTTTGATTATGATTTAGGATTTCTGATTTTCCAAAAATAAAATTGTTAATTTTCCTCTCCCACAAACGTAAGGTAAAAAAAAAAAAAAAAAAAAAATTTGGAAGTGTATTTTACATATATATAACCAGGTTCACTTAAAACTAGAACAAATTATATCACTTCTGCACTGTCATCTGATAAATTCCCGACATAAGTTGTCGATATATTGACGTACATCAGTTAACACCTCTTGAACACGCGCAAAAGCAAGCACCATGGTTGGAAATGTCTCTCTTAAAAAATTTTCCGATAATAAAAAAAAAAGTTACGTTTCTTTTAAATTACATTAAGTATACTTTAAATTTTCTAATTTTCCTAAGATAACATAAGAAAAAGGTGTAATTGAATTTTACATGATTTTTAAACTGCTAACTTTGATTTTTTTTACAAAGTCAGACAAAAAGGGCCGATATGATCGAATTTACGAAAAAATTTTTTGAATCAAGAAAAACAAGATTTTTAAGTAAAATTTTTAACATTATAGGAAGGATTAAAAAATCTGATAAAATATTCAAAATATGCTTTGATCTTTCATCTTAATAGTAACAAACATTTAGACATTAAAAAATTGTTTTATCAAGTTAGGGGCCTTTTTTCTTCATGATATGCTGTTTTTTTTGTTTTTTTTTTGCGAAGTGTTCGACAACCCTTTGAATGCAACGGCCGAGGACGGTATTGACCTCCTCTCTGAGAGTCTCCGCACATCCGAAAGGGGAGATAATTCAGACAATTTTCTGCACACAATTAATTCCCTTTGATTCGGAAACTAATATCTAGGCGTGTGATGGAAATGGATGCAAAAATCGTGTAGATGTGAAGTCTGGAAATTTCTCGGTCGAGTTTACTTATGGTTTAAATAAGTGATCAGTTTAACGATTTTTGTGGAATGTAATCCAGAAGATCTTTTTTTTCCCATTATTGTAGTTAAAAAAAAAGAAAAAACATTTTTTTTTCATTTTCTATCCACTACATACTTCTGAATTCTTAAACAGAGAAAAGTACAAAAACACAACATAAATAAAAATAAGGATGTATAAAGACAGAAAGGTAATTAGCAAAAGGAACATTGAAAGATGCGAGCTACAAATTGGAGACGTCAAAATAAAGGAAGTAAAGAAAATTAACATATCTAGGAAGTGTAAGAACAGATGACTGAAAATGTGACAGAAAATCCCAAAGATGCATTAAAATAGGAAAAGATGCCTTCCAGAAACTAAGCCAAATATTCAGAAACACAAAATTTTCATTGGAAACAATGCTAAGAGTGCTCAACCATTATGTATTATCAGTGCTCTCTTTATAGCAGTGAATGCTGGACTATTTCCTCACAAATGAAGGGGAGAGTTAAGGCAACATACAAGAATGCTGAGAATACAATGACCAGAACATGGTTAGAAATATGTGATTGTCATGTGAAATAGTGACAGAATTTAAAGAGACCTGAAACAATTTTTAATCATACACAAGAAAAATAATGTATTTTTATAAAAAGAAAAAAGATTAAATTTTGTTTACATAGTAATTTTATTAAAATAGCCTCGAAAACAAAGCAGTTGAAATAAAAGGAAATTTCACTATTTTTGACCTATTGTTACAGTGTAAAAAAAGGGAGTTTTGAGATACCTACTGAGACAGTTACTTGTTGCCGACCTCCTCCTCTTCCTCCTTTAATGTGTGCAGTTATAAGCAACAAATGTTGCTGACAAAAGAAGGATAAGGACTAATATTAAAACATTTAAAACATCAGCTACATTCCTTCCCTCTTGATCAAATAAGCATTTCTTTTTTTCAGCTTTACCTTGATTCTATTATCAATTTCATTCAGTAGCCAAAGAATTAAGTATATCATCTGCTTAGTCAATGAATGTGGAATGTTTCTTTATAAGGAAATGGCTAATATTACCATTACCTTTAGAGATGAGGAGAACAGATACTACACTTTGTTGTATCCTTAAAGAAGGTTACAAACAGACAAAGGTGGTACTTGAGTGAAAGGAACAGCAACACGGATGTAGATGAAAGAAAGAGAGGTTTATTGTAAAAGAGAATACACTACTGAAAGACAGAGAATCGGTTAGCAGGCTAGTAATTACCAAAGCAAGTTCGCCAGTCACATCTCTCTCTCTCTATATATATATATATATATATATATATATATATATATATATATATATATATATATATATATGTGTGTGTGTGTGTGTGTGTGTATATATATATATATATACATACACAGATATAGTCAGTCAACATTAGGCAATAGGGGAGAGGGACATTCCATTACAACACACTTTAATCCCAGCCCAATGGCTGACACAACTAGAGTAGCACTGGATGCTCAGTTAATGAATGCTGAATGTTTCCTTATAAGCAAATGGTTAATATTACCATTAACATTACTGTATCTAATTAAGATTCATTACTGATCTTGAATTTTTATCATCAGTTCTTCATAAATTTAAATTTGATGTACAAGTCTGATAGAGAACTTATAATCATTGTTGAGATTTGTAGAAGAAAATCATAACAAAGTTTCTTACCTTTTCACCAAAAATGAAGTACGGAGATGGGAAATGAATTTCAAAATTGCTGCAGTTCACAGATGACTTGTGTACGAGAGCATGTTTGCTCTCAGTTGTCAGCACTTTACGTTTCTCTTTATGGTAACAGACGTTGGGATAGAGACCCATGCAAAGAAGAGTTGTCACCTGAAAAGAAAATCATCAACAGCACATATCAAGAAAGAGCATCAAGTAGCAGATTTCTGCAAAACAGGTTGAAACACACACACACTCTTGAAGAGAAAAACAGACACAAAGAAAAGAGATACAAAAAAAAAAAAAAAAAAAACAAACAAAAAAAGCACCCACACGAGAAAAGACAACAAAGCACCCACACAAGAAAAGACAAAAATAGATCCATTATACTCTTTGACTGTAAGAGTAAAAACCCGGTATTGTGATAAAAAGTAACAATAATAAGATGGAATAAAACTAGTTATAAAATAATAGTAATAATGAAGAATGTATAGAGTCAGAGTGTTAAAAACAACTGAACAAGTCAGATAGTAAATCTGTTCAATTTAAAAAAAACTTAAAAAGTGATCGCAAAACTCCATTCATATGAAAGAGAAAAGATACTAACAATATCGAGACTGCCATCAGGACCCGTATAATTGTAGACTTTGGGCAGCATACTTTCATCTGGAAAACCTGCATTGGTGAGAATATCTCTCAGTTGGTTCTGAAGAGAAATAATAATAATAATAATAAAAAAAAAAAAAAAAAAACAGTAATTTAGAAAAACATCAACTTAAACAACTTTATTTTTATTATTATAAATAGAAAACAAATTTAACTTTTGTGGTTTCTGATCATCATATCAGATTGTTAAGAAAATAGTTTTGCTAAAAACATTGTTTTTATAGGATTAAATATTTAAAGTATCATTATATATATATATATATATATATATATAACTAGTGTACTCATGCAGTCAATTGTAGAAAGTCTTAATAGTGACATGAAATGAAACAAAAGTCTTGAAACAATGTATTGAGATTCAATAAAGCAGAGATAAAGAATTCACAAGTAAAATAGAGGTCAAGGAATCATTTAATTCATTCGTTGCCTTTATATATATATAATTTTTTTTTTTTTTTTTTTTTTTAGACATTCAATGGTATCTGGTATTCATTGGTTACTCCTGGTATTATATAAATAGCATTTTGTTCAGTATCATTTCATATTAAAAAAGAAAGCCATGTTTAATATAACAGTGAAATAGAAATATCTCTCGGAAGAAAAAGATTAGCAGCAAAATGACAAAGCCTATTTCAAGACCAACTTGAAGAAATACGATCACTTCAGAGACAAAGTTATCTGAGTGCCTCACATGTGAGGCTTGAACAAATGAGACTGCAATGTAAGAAACATAGGAATAAAGGAACTGATTAATTCATTTTGCTCAGAAACTAATTTTTTCTAAATGCTGATAAATATTTTATTTGTGTAAATTATTAAAACAACTAAGCGAAGTAATCTGCATTCAAAATATTTAGATTCTGGCATTAAATAACTCATAGAAGTTGATATGTGGCTAAAGAAAAATCAACCAACTAAGGGAAGTAATCACTCATAAATTTACTAACTTAAGTTGATTTACCTCCCTTTCCACTACACATGGGACAAGAAATATATAAACAAATACACATTGATAAAAATTATTATAGGATTTATTGTTATAAATATGAGTGCTTATTTTTCTTATCGATACTAATTCTGAAAGTTTTCAGAATTCGCAAAAAGAAAAGATTATTTTACAGGATAACAGATGTTTTTCTAAATGCTTGGAACCTAAAAATCAACAGAAAGCATCTTTTGATTATTGTCTATGTTGGTGTTTTCAAAGGAAATATAATTGAGACAAATCTAAAAAGATGAAGAATTTAGCAGATACGGTCTTCTGTAATGAAAAGATGATCAAATAAACAAGAAATTCTCCTATCAAATTAAAAAAATAAATAAAAAATACAAAGACAATTAGGTTTTTTCAGTTAATAATTGATTTCTTTAAATGCCGACAGCATTCCATGTAAGAGGTGATTCAAACTTGGAATAAAGTATTAGAAGAAGAAAATAAAATAAATGAATATTTGTATATCCTTAGAGCCTTTTATTACCTTTGCTTCACATGTCATCCGAAGTGTGGGCATAGATAAAGATTTATTGTCACAGAAACAAGCTTCACTGTCTTCACCTGCCATTCTGAAAGAGAAAGAAAGAAAAAAATAAATGTATATAGTGTTTTTGACATGTGCTTATAGTTAGTAAAATTTTTATCAGGAATCCCTTGAAGTATTTTCAATGTAAAGAATTATGTTCTTTTTTTGTTATTACACTATATTACATCACCAACCTTTATTAAACCCATTCTTAAGGAATCTAATGTATACTTAACAACTACGACCATCCCCAAATCAATGTGGACGACCTCCAAACATAAATAATGCTTACAAGGCACACAATCATCTGAATAGAAACTAGAATTATGATACGTTTATACACACATAAATTATATATACAAATGCTGCTTGACTAGTCAAATGCACATGAAGTCTATAACCAATGAAAATCAAACAAAAATAAAATTACCAAAAATACCCCCCCCCATATCTCATTCTCTGATGAAGCTTTAATAAAAGCAAAACATGTTAAGCATTTACTATTTGTTATTTCAGAATACTGAAACAATTATCAACATTTACTTACCTGGCATCTTCCCATAGTTGGAATGCATTTAGTAGGGCAACGTGGTCACTACATCTGGTACCTGCCAAATTCTTGTGCACCCAACCCAGACGTTTACGGTCATGTGTGATAAAAGGCTCTGGAAATGTGGTGCTAGCTGCAACAGTGCACACAGCATCTCCACAACTGGGAAAAAGAAAAGGTTGGGTCAGTAAATTTTGCTCAACTAAATTTTAGGTAAAAAATGTGAAGAATTCAAGCATTTAAATCAACAAATGCCACCATTTTATCAAGCTATAGCTTCTTATACCAAGAGCGACAATACTTATAAATTCTATCAGAGAGGCCAACATGTGTCCTTTCTACTCTTGAAGAACATATCTTAGGTTAACATGTTGTCTAAGCTGATGAGCAGATAATGGATAAATGGATTTTCAATTCGTCAACAAATTGGAATATAATCTGATTAAAGCAAAAATAACTGATTGAATTATTAAGATTAAATTTTCTGTTTCCACACATAAAATGTACAATGAAAACTTTCAGTATTTGCTATATCATTAGATATGGAATCATTAGAGGGAATGAAAGTTTGGATGGATTTGTTTCATAAATCACTGTTACATAAAGAGTAAATGAATAAATATATCTATGGTGGGGGGCGATATCACCCCTGAAATAATAATAAAGGAAAAAAAAAAAAAAAAAGGAATAGGCTGTAAAACAGAAAACACCAAGTGAAGTGAGGCATTTTCAAATAACGAAGATGTCAAAAATGCTGTAAAAACTTTGAAATGTAAATGTTAGAGAAAGTTAATTTAGAACACGAAATACAATCTTTTTGTAAGTATACAAAGGATATCAGATTACTAACAGAAAATTACTGGAACAATGATAATTTGAAACTTTTAGAAAAAGAAATGGATTTTGACACGATAACAATCGAAATTGAAATAAAGAATGTTTTGATTTAGAATTTATTTTTGAAACAAGATTGACTGTAGCTTACAAAAAGTGGCAGAGTGGTTGATAGCAAGATGATAAACAACAGAGTCTTGTTATGGACCTTGGAAACCAATTGATGAAAAAGTAAATTGTTTACTCTCGGAGGAGTGAAATTGTACTTTGAAAGTATGTCAGTACGCTCGCAGTAGAAAAACAGATATTTCACCGGATCTCTATATAAAGAGGTGAGCCAACCAGAAGATAAGAGAGTTTCAGGTTCGTCTGTCTTCGAATGCAGTCAAATTGAGTGAAGCAACATCAGAGTTTGAAAAGAAAGTGTCCCCTGTGTGTTGCTGAGCTGAGGGCGAGGAAGAGAAATACCCATGCTAACATCTAAGTATCACTACTCCTGCTACTACTAATACTACTACTATTACAAATACTGAGAACAGCAACAAGGAAGGCTGTAGTAGTTGCGCTAAGAACAGATGAAAAAGGGTTAAAACGAAGGCCACATCTCTCCTTACCAAAATTATTCGAAGTATGTGTGTTTGGTTATTGTTCACATTCGAAAAACATTCAACCTTGTGCAACAAGAATTTTTTTTGTGTGTTTTTGCTTTTATATATCAAGAAAAAACTTTTGTCCTTTCAAAATCAAATCGACATGGTTATTTATTTTTCTGTTAACCAGATTCTCAACCGACAAACTCGTAAGTCGACCAACAGGGGAGCTCCTGGATTCCTACAATCTGATGACTACTCTCTAAGAAAAAAATCACAATGTGGCTGGAGGGTGGCTTCAAATTGACATTGGGAACTGGAGACTTGCATCTAACCTGTAATACTGGACCATACCAGACCAACGGCCGGTCTGGTGGAATGTGTGGGTCCAGTGGGGTGAGGATACAGTGTTATCCTATACCAGTTTAATCAGCATTTGTAAAAACTTTTTCTAGATACTTATAATATCAAAATATAAACTTATCTAATAATTTACAATATCAAGTTTGGGTGTGTGTATATATATATATATATATATATTATACACAAACACACATTGTTGATTAATTAGTAGATCTATAAATGCTCCTACACTGATTAATATAGCAAAGCTTATACATACATATGAAAAAAAATTAAATTAGTACTGCACAAAACCACAATTGTGGGCCACTTAGTAAGAATCAAACTCATCACAGCAGTAATGGTGTCTGTGTAACTAGCTTTTTATCAACTCTTCAATCATATTTTCCAGAAGAGCTGTTAAACACTCTAAGAAAAAAAAAAACTCCTTATGAAAATCTTAAAGGAAAGCAATTATTGGCCTTGTGCCAAACAATTTAAATTATTTTTTTTTATTATTATTATCATTATTACTCAACAGATTATTTGGACTAGTATCTGCACATTTTTTGTTTTGATCCTAACATTTTAGCCAACAAAAAGATGTCTTCAAATTATTATTATTTTTTTTTTTTTTAACTCCTTCAATCCCCATGTATCTACTTTGTCAGGCACAAATTGTCACTTGACCAGTAGAGATGTTAAGGATTGAGCAAGGATTACTAAACATAACCTGGTCACTGGTCAATATGTAGAGACCAATAAATAAATATATCTATTTTCTCTCCCCTTATTGTTTTCTACAAAACTACACCTGCATCAAAAACTAAAACAATAATTTCCAAGGGAACAAAAATCATATTGAATTCCATTATTGCAATTAAAAGGCTTGTCTCATAATTACAGTAAGTTTATGAGATTTTCAGAAGATTAGAACAGTCAGAGCTGTGTTTAATTAAGAGACAACAGAACTTACTAAAACAGGCATCCATAGATCATCATCTTTCCAAGGCGAGGCTCAATGGGAAGTCTGGCCAAGATACGACCCAGAGGTGTTAATTCATCATTTGCATCCAGAGCACGCATTTCTGAAATCACAAGCAAGGATTAAAAATATATATTTGTTGGTGGGAGGCAAACAAAGTAAAACTGTCTAATGGATAAAGGTGTCAATAACTAATAACGCCATCTTGAATTCAAGATCAAAACATGCCTTTTCTCTGGCCATTGCAGAGTTCAGGCCTTCCCCAGGTCTATCAGATCATGACTTTTGGGAAGGGAAGTTGACTTCAGAGATATCTCCCAGAATAATTGCCCTACAAAGGCTAAAAGCTCAGTCTACACTACTATTTCATTCACAGCTGGAGAGGAGTAAAGATTTATGCTGTTCCCCAAAGGCATTAATTCAAAGTGAATGAAACAGCTTCAGTAAGAATTTGAACTTGGCCTACAGATTCCATTTACCACAACAATAACTATTGCTGCCACTCACAGAATTTAGAAAAATGGAAAGTTTTATATTGGAAAATTAAGCTACAAAATCAACTCTGGATAAATTAAGGATTTAAATGAGGTATTCCCAACCAAGAATTTTTGCATGCTTTTTTCTTTCTTCATCAGGAGCTCTCATCTCTATGCTAGGTCTACTGATAGGGTTGTCAGAATGTACTGCCTGTTTCAGTAGTTTTATACAACTGATTATCTTTTCATTCTGCAGAGGTTAATGATTCCTATTTAATCAGCCATTCCTGATTTCATTGTTCTGCCAACCTTAGCTTGTATTTCTTTGCACACACAACTGCATGCGATGGAATATACAGTTGTTGGTGTTGTATCTTCTAAAGAGGGAGGGTTTGATTTAGAAGACAAAATAAAGATTACATCATGTTGAAGAAGGCTGGCAAGCACAATGGCTAAAACATTGTAAGTATAATAACCAAGAGGATCATGCTGATTTGTTTTACCTTTCAGAAGTGCTTCAGCTTCTATGACAGCATCAATGGGAGGCGGTTCAACAGCTTTAGCCAAGAACCGCCCAATTGATCCCAGCCGTAACAGCTTAATGGCAAGGGCTAATTCATGCAATGGGGTACGGAAAATCTCTGGAGTTGTATGTTGTTCCAACCTGTACAAAAAAAAAAAAAAGAACAAATTTAAAGTTTTTAAAGGTCTGATTGACTTTATTTAGCAGCATATCAGCCTCTATGTGTTATTTAATGCCAAAATCTAAATATTTTGAATGCAATTTTATACCTTCAACTAAATATATCTTGTACATATTTTTATTCTTTCAATGACAGAGAGAGAGGGAGTGTGTGTGTGTGCGTATATATATATATATATATATATGTACAAGATCTGTTGTATGTGTTAGTATAAACCTATTACTTTAAGGTACACCATTATATTGATGGTTTCAGTATTTTGAAATAGTTTGCTCATGTTGATTTCCTTGTACAAGGTAACCAAAAAAGTTCTGTCCGTTTTTTGATTAGTCATTGAATGAAGTTGAAATATATACAAAATGCGTGTAGCAATTCTTTTCAAATTCGGACAGCCGGAAGTAGGAACATCAGACATTATAAAAAAAATACGCTCACCGTGCCTGGCCATCAGTTATAAGCCAGACAGCTGTGAGAAGGATGAAAGTGTCTACAGATCTCGTTCGGGGCTGTTTGCTTTACGACTTCAAAGTGTGCTTATCAGCAGCTGCATCAAGTCGCCGCATATGTCAAGCGTTTGGGGATAGTGCTGTGGATGAACGTACTGCAAGGCGTTGGTTTCAAAAATTCAAGTCGGGGGATTTATCTCTCCATGATGAGCCTCGCAGTGGACGACTACAGGTCTTGAATGACGGAGTCCTGAAGGCAGCCATTGAAGAGGCCAGTAGCCTAACGTGTGGTAAACTTGCAAGACAGTTCAATGTTTCCGATGAAACAGACTTCACCTACACCGCCTAGGTAAGACGTACAAACTGAGCAAGTGGGTTCCGCAAATGCTGTTGGAAGTCCACAAGGGACGACAAGTGGCAGCCTGTGTATCACTGCTTTCTCACCACCGTACCGCATCCTTATTCAATCGAGTGCTTACCAGTGATGAAAACTCCCAAGCGTTCCAGACATTGGTTGTCTCCTCAGGATGCTGTCCCTCACATTGCAAGACCGCCTATGCACCCATGCAAGATTATGCTTTGTGTCTGGTGAACAACTCAAGTGGTTCATTATGAACTGCTACCAACGGGCCAAACGGTCACTGGAGACCTATACTTGCAGCAATTGAAACATGTGCAACAGGCATTGCGCCAGAAGGTGAATCGCAAAGGTGTGCTTTTCCTCCATGATAACGCCAGGCCACATGTCGCGCGAGTGGTCAGGGATACCGTACAGCAACTTGGGTGGGAGACTTTGTGCCATCCACCTTATTCACCTGACCTTGCGCCATCCAATTACTACCTCTTCCACTCCCTGGATAATCATCTTCGTGGGAAATTCTTCACCAATGAAGCAGACTTGCGCAAAGCCCTCACAGACTTCTTTGTATCAAAACCTCCAGAGTTCTACCACAAGGGCATTGAACAGTTAGAGACACGTTGGAAGAAGGTGCTGGATGCCGATGGAGATTACTTCGAAGACTAAATATAAGTTACACATACTGTGAAGCATTTTCTTTTTTCCTTTAAAAACAGACAGAACTTTTTTGGTTACCTTGTACTAGTTGTCTCACAGGTGGGAAAATTTTTTAAATTAATAACTTATTTTAAATCTAAAAAGAATCATTCCATTTGATTTTTTTCTTTGAAGGATTGCCATTATGGTAAACATAAAAAATTCAGTTAAAACAGAAAAGCTATTATTCAGTAACAGACAAGAGCCACACAAGTAGCAATTAAACTTTTGGGCACTTATAATTTAATTAAAATTAATAACATAGAACTTAAAAATCATTTGTAGCAAATAAAACTCTGAAGTGAAAATCAAAATGATATATTGAAGAGTCAAAATATCATGACCTGTATGTATTTTAAAATAGAAGCTTTTACCCTATCAGGCATGAACTTGACAAAACCTGTGAAGTTTTCTTCTCTTCTGATCTGGGGGCAGGGATGTTAACAGCAGAGACTTGAGATGGTGAAAGTTCTTCAAAATCACTAGTCCAATACATCAACAAGATTGAAATCTGTGAAGGGCAACACAAAGTCTTCTTCCTGTTCCTAATAACATTCCTGTATGGTGTTACTGAAAGATGCTACTGCCACCATAGGAGATCACTTGTACGAAAGGTTTTTCAATGACGTTGCAACAAGTATATTCCACATGAATGATAGGAACAACAGTTTCCCAACAGACGATGAAACTGCTTTCAGTTTTTTTTGTTCTTTTTCTATAGTGCATCATTCAGACAAAAACGAGTTCAATTCCAAAACTCAGGAATCAAAGACATTTTTTAAGATGGACATTGGGTAGCATGAGTTCTACAGCTCCTATATATAAGATTAATGCTCCTATATATAAGATTAATGCAAGTAAAAGTTTGTCACTTAGCTGATTGATGTTACCTTCAGCATCCTAACTCCAGAGTTTTTTTTAGGCAGACTCGGTCATCCACTCTTTAAGGTTGAGTGTATTTGCAGATACACCCAACTCACTATGTGCACAGGTTCGTCTTCTCAGCTGTGATCACTTTTAACAAAAAATGAAGACAATTGTTTTTCAAGACACTCTGGTTGGGAAGTAGCAACAATATGATTTCTCACTTAGCAGTTCAGCCAAAGGGAAAGATAGTTGGCTATCTCCCAAACTTCACTGGCCTCGGCAACTCCTGATACCTCTCTACCGGTCCTTCTGAGCAGCTCCAACTCCTCTGGTCACTTACCTACATCTCTCATGGCTGGATCCACTTTCCTCCCGAATTCCTGCCTATCTGCTTATATGGATAATTCTGGAGCCCACCCACTCCATCCACTTGTCTTCTGGAAGATTTAGGACCACCCCCAATGCCACATGGATAGTTAAATCTTCAAAAGAATACTATCTAAAATCATTGATTAAGTTTTTATGTTTCCCAATGCAAAGGCAGCTGTAGACATAATTCCCCGCAAAACACTGATATTTAAATTTACTCAAAGATGGACTGGAGACAAAATTCCTATGAAACTCAGATAACTAATCGGACTTTAAAGAAATTATCTCCTTATCTTCTAAAAATGTGTGAGAAATCATATTGTCACATTCTCCTTTTCTCTTTTTGCCCCCTCCTCAATTGTTGCCAATTTTGTCTGAATTTCTTCCAACTCTAGACATGGGACCGAGTGTTTATTTATGGCCATTCTAGTTTTTATTCCGAGGGAAGTCGTATTTTGTTTTTTTTACAATTTTACGTAATTGTTATTAATGCTTAAATGATTGATATAATTCTAATGATATTAAAGCTTCATAGTAAATACATATACACACACACACACACATATTTTTTCACTGGGTTATTATTTTGTTTTTTTAATTTGGTTTGGTGGCATTATAACTATTAATTGCAGAAGGTTAGATTTATAATTAAATTTATTACTAGCTGCCATACCCAGTTGGTCAATCAAAAAAGCTTTCAATTAAAATGGAGCAAAAACAGCATCATGTTTAGATGTAACAGAGTCTATCTTCAATTACTTTCATTAAAAAAACATTTTGAATTAATGCAGTTACTGGTATAACAGAAGTAGTCTGTATTTATGCAATCGAAGTAAGCTGAGGACATGGAGGAGTAAAACGGACAACATGAAAACCCACTTCAGATCACAATTATTTTGGAGTTTTTGAAATTCAATTTTTCAGTGTGCTACAGGGATTTAAAAGAGGATACATTTATAAAGCAATTAAGTTTGAGGATATTGGTTGAAAGATCAATGAAAAATAACAGTAAAAAAAACAAAAAAAAAAAACATTTTTTACACACGTTTTCATTATATGGGTGGACTCAATTATCAAGTTAAATGACTTGTTAAACAATCAAGTTATTATTGGCTACAATTGAGTGAAGTTTGTATTAGATTGCTTGAAAATTGAGGGAGTTTTTACTTTAAAATTTGTGTTGAAATTGATTTTTCGTTTATTGCTAAACGCAGTGGCATAAAAATAAAAATGAGTTATCAATGAGCTTGTCATGATGTAAGTAACCTATGTAGCAAGTTTGAATGAAATCAGAGGAAAAAAGGTGAATTTATCGATTTTTGATCAACTTTATTGATAATTGATTTTTAAAAATCATCAATTTTTTTACACTAAGAACCTATCTCTTACATTGTACAATGTATTTGGTCAAAATCGGTTGGATGGATCTCAAGTGAAAAGGTATCACACACACAGACATCCTGTTATATAAGATTGTTAGAATTTATGTACATATGTCTGTATTTATACACCTATGTATACACACACATGCACATCTATTCACACATATATATAGGCATACATACATTTGTACACATAAACATGCGTACATGTACACTTATATCTGTGCTTTGTTAATAATAAACTAGTGCTTAAATGAAGAAGTTGTTTATTTTTTTAAATATTTTATATATATATATATATATATATATATATACACACACACAGAGGTTTGTATGTGGATGACTATGTTATGCTCTCGTCATTTTGATCAAGCACTACTGAGAAAAACAGTAGCTGTCACCACTATTAACGCACCACTCTTCATTAACAAATTGAGCCCTCTGGATGCTGGCGTTTGCATACATTCGTACATAATACATTAGAATTTCCCTTTCTCTACTGTGCACTGATAGCTTAGGGGTAGAATCTCCGACTGATGTCAAATCAGTCAGGTTTCAATCCCGGTTTGAAGCAATCGGATGTCTATCCTCATTGACGAGCTGTGATACAGCAAAACAGGTTTGTATATGGATGACGATATATATATGTATGTGTGTGCATATGCATGTGTCATATTATATTTAAGGATATGCCTACATTTACCCATAATTCAGTTTTCTTGTTTAAGAGTTTATTTTGGTTTTTAAAACTAATTGATAATTTTCCCTCTAAGCATAATTTACAATTTTTGCTGTTAATACTGCATGGAGTTGCGCTTTTTATAAATTCCCATTTGATTTTTGTAGGGACATTATTTTCTTTTTGGCTCCATTTGTATTTTGATAGGGTTGTATTGTGTGTGTATTTTTTTTCTTTCAAAAGGACATTTTGTGGTCATATCTTTTTTTTTTTAATTTTTTTCTTCACACAGACACACACATCATCGACAGTGTGTTTTATGCATGAAATATGTTATTTCAAAATTAATTGTTTTATGTTATTTGTAAATTTTCCAAAGTTCATATTTATTATTTTATGATCTTTGGTAAATTTACCAATAACAGAACAACTAATTTTAAAATAACACATTCGAAAGAATTATTGATGCAAAAATATACCTTATATATAAATAAAAAAAAAAAAACTCACCTCTCATATCTCGCCCTGCTACAGAGGTGAAAACAGAATCCAGGCCTGACACGACCGGCGCGTCCACGTCTTTGTTCCAAGTTAGTCTTTGATGCCCATAAGGTAGCATAGTTTGTCATGTTGTTGTGCGATGTAAACAATTTCATTTTTGCCCTAGAGAAAAGAAACAACAAAAAAACAATTTACATGTTGTCACCTAGAAAAGGTTACTGAATGAGGAATAACCAAAATGGGGGTTGGATGGATGGATGTTGGATTTAACGGCATGTCAACTCCTACAAAATGGGGGGTTGGAAATGAAAATGTTAATCAACATCAACAAAATATAATACTCACCAGCAGCGTGGAGTAGGTAAACCACTGCTAGTGGTGAATTACTTAGCATATTACCTCCACTTACAATAATAAAATCCAACATATTTATGAGGATTGGGACATACCCATTAGTGTTCATAGGTACAGTATATAACATTACACAAAGTAGCACTTGTACTTGATTAGGTTAAATGTAGTAAATGACAATATAAAAAAAATGGTCAAATTCTGGCTTTCCTGAAACTTTGAACTTTTAAAAGAAATAAAATTCCCTTTTGCATTACAATCTTCATGACAACAAAAAAAAAAAAAAAAAATTGCTCATTAGAATGAAATTCAGATCATGATTATTTTTTTTTCAGGAGAAAAAGGAAAAACTTACTTGCAACAGTCAACTACATACACAACATCATTGATGGTGACACTGGTTTCAGCAATATTCGTTGACAAAATTATCTGAAAAATTAAAACAAAAAGAATAAAATTAATTTTATCCATCAGAAAATAGACTCATACTGATCATACTTAAAATATTGTTGCCATCTTCTTGGAGGCGGATGTTTCTCTTTCATTATCAATTATACATCTCCGGAATAGACTAAAATGTTGTGGGAATGGTACAAAGAGGTTTAGTTGCTTGAACAAATCAGGAAAAGTTACAAACAATTTACTTCAGTCTTTAAAAAAAATAAGAACTTTTTAGCCAGTTTCTTCTCTAGATTTCTTCAGGAGAACTGTCACTTGTCAATGCAGTATCTAATCATGAGCCTATAAGTGTCACAATTTTTCTTTTTTTGCTGACAATTTCCCACTGCTCACAGACAGGATAAACATCACAATACATACACATTTGCTAAAATTTAACTAAGGAAAATGCTGGGAATAAGAAAATAAAAAAAAAATAAAAAAAAATAAAAAAATTCAAAATTTTTAACATCAACTCAAATTTATTTATCCAAGAAAATTGGGAAACTATTCAATCATAATTAACCTTGACAATTAACAGAAAAGAAAAATAGTTTTATTCTGAATTGTTTCGTTCAAACTTACCTTCACAATTCCTACAGGTACAGGTTCAAAGACTTTCTTTTGATCTTCTCTTGGGATCTGAGAGTGAAGTGGAAGAATTCGGTATCTTGAAGAACCTAAAAGAATCCCAGCCATTAGTATTGTAAAGAAAATCTTAAAACAATACAGTAGACAATTTCTGTTATATTCTATACTAGGGGTGGGGAACCTGTGGCCTTGTAGGCCATTATATATGTCTGGCCTTTACAATGAATCCACATCTTGCAGAAAACTTTTGTTTTTATTAATGTTGTTGTTTATTATTTATATTTTAAACTTAAATTGAACGCATTTACAATGGCAAAGAGTAAAAGAAAATTCAACAAAATAATCCTCCACAAACAAACATCGCAAATTAAATAAAGCCTATTTCAACACCTGCTACATTCATGGTTTAGTTCTTAATGCTGCTCTAGAATCTACATTAACTTCCCTGCCTGGCTCTGGTGCCACTACTGCTTGAGGCTGGTTGGCAATAACCTGTGATAATCCAGTATGACAGTGAGTATCAACTTGTGACAATGGTGCACATATTTTTCCATTTGAGGTGGAATTTGAGAACAGTTATGCAGCCTGACCATATTAATGTATTTGTTTTATATATATATTTTTTTTTTATTCTGCCACTTTAACAGTCCATCAATACAAAGACCAAGATAACACTGAAGGAAGAAAAAAAAAGGTTGAAAGCAGTGAAGAAAGGAATCCAAGTGTTGAAGGCAGACTTGATTATGTTACACATTTTGTGTAGTATTCTCCACAGTTTGGAGTTCTACTACACTTGAAAATTTTGAATGACACACTTTAATTCTCAATGCTACACATTTCAGCTATCTAGACAACTCATGGTTTGTAAATATCACAAAAATACTTGACTTCTTAACTCCTAAAGTTTAATGATTTTAGTAAACAGAAGTTGAAAGAGAAATTTTCACAAAATGACTGCACATTTTAACTACCCCTAGTACTTATGACTTTCATTGCATATGGCACAGAACACAACGATGTTAACATTTTTCAGTTCATCTAGTTTAGCATTCAACTCCTCTTCCAATTTTGATATCTCTATGGACTTGTCCTTTGCAGATCTTCACATGGAACTGGACTTTGCAATAAGTATGACGTTCTGAGTCTGCTCAGCTTTCTCTCCATAGCTGCCATCTGACTTGCGCAAATCTTGTGTGCAACTTTCAAGTTTGCATTTATCTGGTTTTCAGGTCTTCAATTTCCATGAGCATGGATTTCCGTTTCTGTCCTGCTGCTTCTTACTGATTTTTTCTTCTCAGCCTCAAGGTATTCTGGCATTGGAAGCACTGCGGAGAAGAGCCTTAGTTATGGGAACATTCCAAGCACCTTCAACTGTGATCAAATAGTCTATGATAATGTGCTGTGCAACAAAAGTCTGCTGTTTCATATTGCCGGTGGAAATTTCTTTGCTGACTGAGAAACCTCTCTCCACTGAGGTCTGCCCATAAGAGAGTGCCAGAAATCTGCAAACAACTTTCCACAGTTAAGAAAGTATCAGAGAGTCTTCAGGCTTGCTGAAATTCTTGAACACAATATTTCCAGCAGCCTCCTCCTTAAACTATTTGTACTGACTGATCATATCATTAAAATCTTGTGTTCATCCATGCAAGTGACCTTACAAGAGCATCTCTAAGGGGGAGACTTTGCCAGAAGTTTCTCAATGATGTTGACGAACATTGTCTTTGTTACAATTCTGCATACAAACACATTTCCTTTTTGGGATAAATTTTGTATAGTCCTATCAGCCAGAAATTCACACTGGATCTTTTGCTTATGTTTAGGTTTGACAAAATTCTTACAAATTCATTCAGTTTGGAAAATGTAATTATCTTTTAGTGTGCTCTTCCTTTACAAATTTTTAACAGTAGCTAAAAGATCATTTGCAAGGAAACGAGGCAATGGTTTATCGCTCTGTTATTTTATCAGAAATGGTTTAATGTCTTTTGAAACAGACACAAAAACCTGAAGTTTCACTAGAAATAAAATGTCATTCATGTCTGAGATTTCTGGGATTTTGCATTTTGACTTTCTTGAATTGAGAAAAAGAATACGTGGGCAGCACAATTTAGAAAATTCTAGGACTTTTCAAGATTTTAGGCTACTGCTGTTTTTCCAGGATTTTTCAAGCAATGAGAAAGGACCTATCAATTTTTCTGGGATTTTAAAGTTTTCCAGGACCTGTACGAACATTGATGTTTGGTCCAGTCATTTAATAACTTATTTAACCCCTTGTTAAAGACCAGGAGAAAGAGAAAAAAAAAAAAAGTGCCAACTTGTGTCTTACCAAATTCAGGTGACATTTCCAAATGTTTCTGAAGAGCAAAGATTAAATTCCAACCGGGTAAGAAAATGAGCACAGCGCCAGGAATATTCAGCCCTTTGATGTAACGCAGCAAAGACTACAAAAGAGAAAAAAAAAAAAAAAAAAAAATCATACAGATAATCTGTACCAGCACGACTGACCCACATTTCATAAGTGTTGTGCCCTCATCTCCATTTTTTTTTGGGGGGGTGGGGGTCAAATTAATTAGTCACTTTCTCACCACCATAAGGTTGCTTCTTTGTGCCTTTTCTATAAATACTTTTGTGTTATTTGCTCTAGATATGCTCTTTGCTACGGTACCTAGACTTTTTGTACTAAACTGGCATCAAGATCTCATCAATTCACAGTTGAACTGGCTAGATATAGCCATAAATTCTATGCTAACAGTTTCTTTTCTCGCACTTCTCACTTGTGGAACTCCCTTCTGGCTCCATGCTTTCCAACCAACTTTAATCTGCAAAAATTTAAATACAATATCAATCACTATCTACTGTCCCTCCTGATTACTCTTTCCTCTTCCTGCTCATTATTAATGTGTCTGTTCCTAATTCTTTCACACCTAGTAAGCCCTTGTTGTGTATTAGTGGCTTTACTGCCTTGCATGGAGTGATACTGATAAAAGAGGAGGAGGGGGAGAAAGAAAAAGAAAAAAAAAAAAAGAAAAGAAAAAGGGGAATGGGTGTCCGAAATTCTTGGATGAAACATTGTCATTATTCCAACTAGTATCTTTATATTTGTGATTCTGATCGCTATCCATTCACATGGCTCCAAAAATGAATTATTCAAGCTGGTATCCTTTGTCATTTTGATTTCCCAGTTTTGTCTACTACAGGGTTTGGCTTCCATTTTGACTACATGAACCGAAAATCTAATAAAAAGATAATAGATCAATATACTAGTATAAATGATTTGTGGAACCATGGATAAATGAGGGAACACTGCATGTGTGAATGTGTGAATGTGTGTATGTGGGGGGTGGGGGGGTGAAATAGTTTCCCCAGCCTCACCTCACTTTGTGGTGTTTTTTTTTTTTTTAAATGAACTTGAACAATTTCCAATGCAGAAAAAATATAATCAAAACAAGATGAGGATACTAATCCAAATGGTTTGCAAAATAATTAAAACTGAAAAGACCTGTGAAAACTTCATGGATTTCCTATTTGAATTTTTTGATGTATCTTAATTTTTCAGTCAATGATTGAATAAGTCATGGCAAGTTCTACAAAAATAAAATATCTGTAGAAATTCTCCTATCGCATCGTTAAATATTTAAGCATAACAACTTTAACAAAATATTGCAATAACAATCATAAATATGAATGCTGGTTATTATTTTAAGAAGTGAGTAGAAAGATTTGAACTTTTTCCATTTCACTGAAACAGCCATAAAACATTTCTATCTTCCCTTCTTTCTTTCTTTCATTCATTTTCTCACTGAAACCAAGTAGCATCTCTTTGTTTTTCCATGCAATTAAAACAGAAACGCCTATTTATGAGCTATTGGAAGGAGACATTATCGTTCTTTCTTTCCTTTCTCACTGAAACCAAGTAGTGTCTCTGATATGTTTCTTTCTTTCCATGCGATCAAAACAGAATTTTCATGCAATCTATTTTCCCTTCTTTTATTTTCTCACTGAAACCAAGTAGTGTCTTCTCCCTCTTTCCATGCAATCAAAGCAGAACAGTCCATTGTTTATGAGGTATTGGCAGGGCGTAATGGTCGTACAAACTAACGAAGGGAGGAACAAGCACAATTATTATATATTTCACTTCAAGACATCAAATAATAATATATAATTTTTTTTTATGTTTAAAATTTTACATAATTCCTTATGTAAATACTGCTTTTGTTTTTTCTTCAGCATCTTCAAATTAGGGGTGTTATAAAAAGAAAAAGATTTTTAAGTTAACCGTTTTGATAAAATAATCAGTGAGTGAAAGTTGCAAATTGATAAATCTTTTTACCTCAATCAATTCAAAGGACATTTCCTTTTCATTTAACATCGCCATTGCTCTTCTGGTTGCTTCTGAATAATCGCCAGACACCATTAAATTGCAGTTTTCCTGAAATTTAAAAGAAGAAAAAAAAAAAAAAAAAGAAAGAAAAAATTTACAAACTCTTCGCCAATGTTTACTTTACTCTAAGTCCTACACAAATATTTGAGGAAACAAAACCAAGCAAAATCTCTAACATTTGTACCCCCAGAAAAAAAAAAAAAATCATTAATGTTTCAAAAGGACAGTTTTTCCCTTGACACCACTATTATTTAAACTACTTTCACTTCTCAGCATTGTTGTTTCAAGTGATGATTAGAATTTTAATAAAACTAAAATATAAGAAAGTGAATTTATAAATTTTCTTTCTTCTTGAGAATTGACAACAAAAATATCAAACACTATTTATTAAATTGTTTATTGCAATGATTGACAAAACATCATTGCATATTGATTTGAACTTTATAAAATGGTAGATAAGGAATTATTTAGATGGTTCCAATATTTTAATAATTTAGTAAATGTTTATAAATTTAGTAAATGTTTATAAATTTATGTATAAAAAATTGTTTTCATATTTATTTCTTTATAAATTGGTAAATGATAAATATTGCATGGCATTAGTTTTAATTTTATTAGTTTTTAGAATGTTGTAAATATAGTATTCTTGTAAATAATCTAATAATTAAAATCGTGTTAATTTTTGCTGTCATTTCTCAAGAACAAAAAAAAAAAAAGTATAAATTCACTTTCACATGTTTAGTTTTTATTAATTCTAATCATTGCATTTTAAAACAATAAAAATTGCCGAGTGGAAGTTGTTAAAATAGCAGTGTCAAGGGGAAAAAAAACCATCCTTCTGACATATTGTCTTTTTTGCAGTCACAAAGGTTAAAGATTGCCAAAACACTTCCCATTTTCTGCAATCATTTTACATATTTCTTAAAACTTATCAAATTTTACATAGCATTTTTTTTTTTTGTTAAACATTTTATAAAAAAATAAAAAGAAGTTTGTGAAAATTCATGTGAAATAATAGATAAATAATCCGGGTGAAGGGGGGGGGGGAATCACTGGAAAATTTATAAATAAGCACTTGTATTTAAAAATAATGTTTATGAAAATTGATTTAGGTGTCTATGGGGATCTATACAGAAATCAATGTTTGTTTGTATATTCAGGCTTCAGAGAGGCTTACATTTCAATTAAATATCTACTTTTCTCTTTTTATCAGATTCATTGGTAAAATGATAGTGAAATTTATTCTTGGAAAAAAAAAAAAAAAAGAAAAGGCAAAAGAAAGAAAAGAGGTAAAGGGTGAAAAGAGAAGCAAAACAAAAGGAGAAGAGAAAAGAAAAGAGAAATGGGGGGGAGGAAGAAAAAAGAAAGAAGGATCCTGTTGAAAGAGTTTTTATCTTACTTCTTTTTCCATGTCCTCTCCATCTTCTTCCTTCTCCTTCTTTTTCTTTCTATCAGTTGGAGGAGGGACAAAGTTGGTCATTTGAATGCAATCTTCTAGAAAATAGTCTGGAAACACAGAAGATGAGACATTTTTATTTCTTTTAAGTAAAAAAGAAGAAAATAAAATAATTTTCACATTGCAAGATTTCATCCCCATGAATTGGTGTTTTTCTTTTTGATTTACTTAGCTCTCTTTGTATTTTATGTTTGGACATATGTTTGAAGAACAAGAAGGTCCTCATGAGAAACAGTATAACTGAAAACACAATCATCAACCAATCTAAATGTTGGAAGATGAAATGACAATGGGAAAGAAAATAGCCATCCACAGGAGGAAGGGGGGGGAGAAAGGAAAGTTATTCCTTTTCACCCCCCCTTCCCCCAACTGATACTCCCATAAATCAAATTAAAACACCCAACAGATCCTAATAAACAAGCCATTTTTGACATGGAAATAAAATTGAAAACCTCACATACATTGATATTATGAGAATAGTTTAAATACAAACCAAAGTAAAGATTAAAATAGTTTTGGAGAAAGGGACTGATGGATGAAATGTCAGCTTGAAGATGTTTGGAAAATCAACCAGCTGATACCTTATCAAAGTAGTAATAATAATAATAATAAAACAAATACTATTAGGAAGTGTAGCATACCTTGAACTGGATAAACGCGACCATATACCTCGACAACATTACAGTTCCCAAAGTATTCACAGAATAGGCTTACATCCACTGTGGCTGACATGAGCACCACACGTAGTTCACTGTAAGCTGCCAACATATCCCGTAATAATACTAAAAGGAAATCAGTCTGGAAAACAAAAAAAGGTGTATGGAAAATGGATTTCAATTTGAAAACAGAGCATTTTTTTTGTCCATTGCAATAGAATTTCATCCAATAAATATTGGATATTTATAGCTGGAAATCTAGTTTTCATAGCAAAAAAAAAAAAAAAAAAAGCACATACACAATTGATTTTATATCTATTATTAAATGTTTAACCTATGTAATGTAAAAAAGAAAAACCTAGTCTCTTATCAGTTATAAGAACATTGAATTTATGCAGCAAAGCAAAATAACATCATTGAATAAAAACAAACAAAAAAAAAAAAGAAAAAAAGCTGGATTATACATTGATTTTTTTTTGGTGATTAGTTACATATCTTTGTAGTTCACTTATTTTATTGGAAATTCAAAGACCTTTACCATTGTTGAAGAGTAAAGGTTCCTTTGTTACCAAAATTAGATACCACTTCATGGTAAGTCCTATAGCTTTCTGTCAATGGCTGTCTTGAGAACTATCCTCAAACCAAGAATCCTCCAAGAAACACCCGTCATTTCTGGAGATTTCTTTACATACTAGCCAATTCTTGTGACTTACTGGAACACTTCATGGAGCACTGGATTTGATACGCAACCTTCATCTTTTATCACAAGCGTTCAACTTGACACAAGGACATCAGCTGTATTTTTACAACAGATTTCTGCTTCATCAATGAAACAACTGCATATTCTTAGGCCGTCACCTGTTAAAACTTTAAGAAATAGGGGGTGGGGGGAAAAGAACAAACCTAACATCATCAAAACTAACACAGTTTAACAGTGCAACAAACAAACACAAGTGATAAGATTTCAATATAGCTTTGTGTGTGCACATAATAGTGCACAATGAGTACTGGTGATAATAAAACAGAGTATAACACAACTAAAATAATAAATATACATTTGTTCCTAACATTTTGGTACAACTGAGTTTCATGCACATTGCAATCGTCAGGCACAAACACACACACACATATATATATATATATATATATATGTATGTATGTATGGAGGGGGATACATTGCTTTGATGCTTTAGCACACATCATCAGTAATGCTTTTAGCCAAGGATCGTTAGGAGTTTCAGTTCTTTCAACATCAGTACCCGCTCTCCATACTGACTTGATACTGATTGGCTAACGGCTTGTGTACCACCAGTCAGCTACATCTGTTCTCACATAGTGTAGGGACTGCCTCAGTCTATGTTTCATGTGAAGAGGGATAGTGGTAACCACTGCTCACATGTACAAATATCGCCCCCCCCCATAAACAAACAGATCGGTTATATCACAATTAAAAATTTAGTTACATGTATGCTTGTCATGTGTTTCAACGAGATCTGAAAGAAACATAACATTTACACATACAATATGTTTCATTGAAAATGACAGACAAGGTACCGCGATTAGCTTTTTATTTTTCTTGTGTTCAAAACTGTCCAAATGTTGTGTAATTTTGAGCACTTTCAGCTATACTTTTAGCCATTATCAAGGATGATTTTATTTTTACTTTTTAATTGAGTATATGGATTGTGTGTATATTTCTAGAGTTATAGGGATGTTTTATCTTCCAAACACAATCAGCACATTGTGGCTGTGTTCATAGTTAATATCATTGTGTGTTGGCTTTTTTTTATTATTAAGGTTTCCATTATTTTTAATCATTTTTTTTTTTACATGGTGGATGAGGTTATTATGTTTGTATTTTCTACTAGTATGTTTTGGATGGAGTCTGATAAGTTTGTGTGTGTGTATATATGTGTGTGTGTGTTTAAATGGGTTCTAATAGAGCTGTGATTGGATAGGTGTAACATAAGATGTTTGAATAAACATGTAGTAGTGTGACCAATATAATTATTTATGAATTCGGTTTGATCAGGAACACGGTTCCTTAAGGGGCATTTCAACTCAAATAATGTTCGTTGTAATTTTTAACTTTTGATTTTGCTTGTGTGTTGCGATTTTTGAGGATAAGGTTAGATGTTTTAAATTTTCTGTAGAAGATAATTTGATTTTTTTTGTTCGGGTCAATTGGGGTAGTGTATTTCTTTATAATATTTCTAAGTGAAGATTAATTTTGTTTGTAGTTGATGTGCATTTGGTTTTTTGTAGAAAACATTTGTTATTTTTGACTGTGTTTACTATCAATTGGAAGAAATAGTCTAATTTGGTGATTACAGAAGCCATTGTTAACTAGTGTCTTTTGTATTATTGAGTTCTTTAAGAAAGAGTAGTCGAGAGGATGAATTCTGGTATGCTCTTTTTAGGAAGTTTTTTTTTATCACTTATTTTGAATCTGAGTGGGCATTCACTCAGACAGTTAAGGTAGCAAGAGTTTCTGCTAGTGGGTTTTTTTTTATACAATGAGGTGGTAAAAGTGTTACTATATTCTACGAGAACGTCTAAGAATAGGAGTTTATTTTTTTGACTAATTTTGTAGGTAAAGTTAAGGACAGAATTTTTTTTCAAACAGTCTTGAAAGTGTCTATTTCTTTTGTGTTTTTCACTAAAATAAAAATACATGTCTACATAGCAGACGTGTTTTAGGTTTACAGACCTGTTTAAATATCATATTTTCTACATGGGACATATAATAATTGGAAAAGCATGGGCCAAGTGGATTTCCTATACAAACACCATTAGTTTAGGTGTAAATGTTGCCATTATGGTCATAGAAGGGGACTTTGGTCGTGCAAGCATGTAATTTTTTGAATATAAATGGTTTGATGGATGGCAAAGGGATAAAATTATTAATGTACACAGAATTGAGGATAATGTCAATAGTTTGATCGACGGGGACATTTTATGAATAAATTTTCAACATCAAGTGGCACTATGATACCTTGGTTTGGCTTTGTACTTTTTAAAATTTAGAGGAACTAATGGATGGATGTGATGCTGTAATTCGTGAGTAGGTATGGAGTAACGATGTCATTAAGGAATTTTGGTAGCACTAATATTAACTAGGAACATAGCCATAATGTGCTGTGTTCAGAAAATAACTCTAGAAACATACACACAACCCATACACCCAATTAAAAACACAAGCAAAAATAAAATAATCCTTGATAATAGCTGAAAGTGCTCAGATGACACAGGATTTGTACAGTTTCTACACACCATGTCCAGAAAAGAAAACATTTGTTTGAACACAAGAAAAATTAAATAAATAGCTTAATCATATTACCTTGTCTGTCATCTTTAATGAAACATGTATAAATAAGGATTTCTGCCTAAATAATATATATACATATATATATATATATATATATATATATATATACATACACACACACAAATATGAATACCCTACATTGATTGCACAACTCGAAGTTTGATGCCATGAAACTCCAAGTTGTGCATGTAGGGTGTGTGTGTATATATATATATATATATATATATATAATATAAACAATTTGTTTGTTTTCAGTAATAAATTTATTTTAGTTGTGACTCCTCATTTACCCCAAAGACCCATGTTTACATTTTTCAGTTTGGCCATTTTGCTTTTCCAACGAATCTTTCTGAAGAAGTTTTGGATGAAAAAGATCCCTTTAAAAGAATGTATATTCCATCATTTTCATATATATATATTTGTGTGTGTGTGTAAAAATTTCAGATAGAGTATATCTGTAAAAGGACAATATGAATAAAGACAAATACATAAACTCAATAAATATAAATTAGTTCCTCACTGTTTGGTACAACTGAGTATCATGCAATAGTCAGTTTTCAATTTGTGATTGACGATTGTCATGTGCATAAAACTCACTTGTACCAAACAGTGAGGTATAAATGTATATTTATTATTAACATGAATTTTAGTTCTGTTATTTTACATCTAAAGAGATACATGGTTTCTTTTGGTCAGGAAGTTTTGGAGAAGTATGAGAAAATAGTGTAAAAACAGACATTTCACTTCTTTCAGAGAAACTTTTAACACTAAAAAAAGATTGTAAAAAGTTAATCAATCTGATTATTCTTTCAACATGTGCAGAAAAAGATAATGTTGAACATGTGCTGACTGACAAGAAGGTTGAAGATAGGAGTAAAAAATAAAATTCAAGGAAAAGAAAATGACTTACATTGATATCTCTTTCATGGATTTCATCCACGATGACATGAGACACACCACGTAAGCCGTTTTCCAATCGTCTCAGCAGGGTTCCTAATAAAAGAAAAGACAGAAAAAAAAAATCAGAACACTTTCATCTCAAGTCAAATTAGAGGGTAAATATTAATTCTTACTGATTTTAAACAATAATTTCATCCTTCTTTCTTTCAATCGCTTTTTATGGCATCAGCCCCAAACATTCTACAATCATTAATAAGACTTTCGTGGAAAAAGCCTGTCTTAGGTCAACAGTTGCTCTGCCAGTCGTAGAATTTAAGTATTTGCAATAAAAAGCAACAGTAATTAAGATGCAAGTAAAATTTGTTGAAAATTATTAAAAAGATAAAATCCCTCAGAAGATGCCTTCATTTTTTTTTCTATTTTGATACTAAACTGAGGCAATTATACATACATAAAAAAAAAATTATTTTCTAATTACTTAAAAAAGAAAAAAAAAAAGAATACATAGGGCACATGACTTTCTATTTTCTATCAAAGTATCCAATATTTAATGTAAACCAAACACTTTTCAGTTTAATTCAGTTTGTTGCAGGATTTGTCCAGGACAAAATATACCTGAATAAGTAAGAGCTCTGTATCAATCACTTGTAAAATTTGGTGAGTGACTGCTATTTGATCATATATATATAATGAAATGAACAAAGTCCGACAATTATTTTAAGACATTTTTTTATGTTTATACGTTCTTTTTATAGATACAAATATTTAAGTAAATGCTGTTTATTAATGACATTTACCGTCGTGAAAATTTCTTGGACATTCTGGCTGGTAAATGTCGCTAATACCATTTATTATTAACAAAACATTTACTTAAATATTTGTATCTATAAAAGAATGTATAAACATAAAAAATGTTTTAAAATATATAACAAAACCAACAATGTTTTAAAAGGTCTATAAAAGCAATGTTTTGAGATGCACAAATTATTAAAAAAAAAAAAAAAAAATCAAATTTTTTTTTTTAAATTATATATTGAGTATTTTTAAATCATTAATAAAAAAATTTAAAGTAAGTTACCTCCCTTGCATCTTCATAATGTAAACTGTCTATAATGGAACGCATTTCTTGAGCATTTACAAAAACTTCACAACTATCAATTACATGAATTTTTTTTTATCTTACAAATTCACTCCCTGAAGATGATCTTGGATCAGATTTAAAGTACTCAGGGAAAATAAAAGAAATAACCAAAACTATGGCATCTTTCTTAATAGGTTTTGTAACAGCACTAAGAAATTGATCCATGAATTTGAGAGGATTAAAATAAAAACAAACATGACATGTCTAGATTATTCAACCTAACATGCTTAAAAAAATATATGCTGCTGAAATATACATATTTTAAATTACATAATCCATTAGCTCATAATAACACCAACACATGGCAATTTAAACATAACCTTGTGAAGAGGCAAATCGAAATAGCAAAAGGCAACTTAAAAATTCTTAGCAAAAATGCACAAGAGTACCACAATAGACTAAAACTAGCAACCACTCCTAAACCAATCTTATATAGACTTGCGGAAGTTGCTAATAAAGCTGAAATTCAACAGTCTAAACATTAAAAAAATCTTAATACACTATACAAAGGAACTATTCATCTTCCAAATAATAAAGATAAATAAATTCATCGACATCTCTATGAACTAAAAGGCCACCAAAAGTAATTACTCAACCTTGGAATTAACAGTCATCTTTACAGACAATACAGTAGAAAAAAGAAAAAAAAAAAAACTGAAATTGAAATGTTATATCAAAATATACAATATACAAAATATACAAAAACTTAAAGAACAACTAATGAAAACAAAACCAGAAATTTGGGACCTACTCAAACCTGAAGTAATAAAAGGCAGATGTGACAAAAGAAAAAAAAAACTTGTCTAAGCTAAGAAGGAAAAAAAAAAAATTAAAAAAAAATAAAAATCGCTGCCAAGGAACTACATAATCATAATTTTAAAAAAAAAAAAAAAGCAGATAAAACCAAAATCTTTGTTGTGTTAAATAAATCTGATTACAATTCAAAATTACAAATATGTCATGATCACACAAAATTTAAAAAGTTAACAAAAATCACATTAACAAACCCATCACAGCCAACAATGCAAAACAAGACAATTTAAAACTTCCCAAAATAATTAATTACTACAAACCAGGATACATGTATGGAAGTATAAAAATACATAAACCTAACTTCCCTCGCCATCCTATCATATCCCAAATGCCCACTCAAGTTTTTTTTTTTTTTCACATTTCTGTCAATTTCATCCAATGCTAATTCTGAGGGTGGCTTCAAACTTTTGAACTGTAGTGTGTGTGTGTATATATATATATATATATATATGTTTGTGTGTGTATTTAAGCAGCAAATTCCCTTTTAGGTATGTCTAATTAAATAAATTAGACATTATGTCTGCTTATTTCTAATAAAATCAGTTCATATCCACGGATAACGTTCTGCGTATTGCAATTAAATGATGTGAGAAATGTGCTATAATCTTTTGATCTTCTTACAAGATCATCTTCAGGGGGTCTAAGTAGTAATATAAAACTGTTTGTTGCTATCCATTACTTTAATTTTTTTTTTTTGCTTTTAAATGCAACAGTTGACAGTAATGCTTAGTGTTCATTAGAAGATTATCCACTATGGAATTTTTTCTTTTGTGTTGTAATGTCATGGTCACACATGCATTAAAGCATGAAAAACTGTTCTTTTTATAGACATTTCAGAACATTACTACAGTAATTACTACGTAGTTGATTCTATTAAGTGATGGCTTTAATTTTTTTTAATGTAGATTGCTTCAAGGATCTTTATTTTGAATTTGTTGTTTTCATGGTGTAAGATAGATGTGTTGTCAATCAGTATTTTTTTTATACTGTGAATGTGGACAGGAATGTTGTTGTAGATGTCTTGCAACGGACAAATGCTCAGACATGTAATGTAAGATGTCTTGATAATGTAGTTGTTGTATATCCAACATATACATTTGTTTTTCTGTTGGAAATACATTCTCCCAAGGGACATTTGAATTGATACATAATGTTGGTTTTACGTTATACATCAGTTGGTGGCAAGGAGTTATTCTGAATAATTAAATTGGTTGTATTGTATTTTTTATAATATATGACTAATTTTATTTTTTTTTTTATTAGGATCCATGGAAAATATATTAGTACAAACGGGATATGTGTATGTGTGTGTGTGTATATATATATATATATATATATATATATATAAAAAATCCAAGCTTACCCAATGTACAGTACAAGATGGCAGCATATGGCCGAGGTAGGACACTTTCAAATCTAACGCTGTACCCAGTACTCAGCCCCAAGTTCTCATTCCTTTCCATGGCAACCCTCTCAGCAATGGATACGGCACTGATTCTTCTAGGCTGGACAAAAATCAAATCAAATTATCGAGATGAGTTGACATTAAGATTTTGACCAAGTAATATCAAGAAGAGATGATAAAAGCAAAATTTAGATGTGAGTATAATTAAAGACAGAATCATTTAATTCTTTGAATTTGAAAAGAAATCATCACCACTTGTACATTCATTTCCACGAGACAAAAGGGGGTAAAAATGATACATGATTAATCACTTTTACTTTCAAAGTTGCTTTGCAGGTAAAAACGTACCTGAGTTACGATGATGTTACAGTCGGCGCCTTTGCCTTCTGCAATCATGCCGTCCAAAATGAACTGAGGAACCTACAGAAGAAAAATAGATTGCACTAAGAAAAAGAATAGACACATCTGTTCATCACACACACACACACACACATACAAGGGATGTTAATAAGTCAGTAGCATAATAAAGAAAACAAAAAACAGCTATTTTTCAACATAATCTCATTCCTGATCAAGGCACTTCATTATAGATCACAGACTGAACATTTCAAATCAAAATTCACCTCACTGCACAAGGCTACTTATTGACACAGACAGGAGATGCCGAAAAGTTCTCAGACAATCAAAGAGGGTTGCTACTGTTATTTGAATAGATATTGGGAAGTGGGGTTGGGCAAGAACTACACACACAATTTTATATATATATATATATATATATATATATATATATATATATATATATATATATATATATATATAAGTAAAGTCTGATGATCAGAGCCCTTTAAAAGGGTTGTGGTGAAATAACTTATTACATGGAACCTAAAGTGGTTTGTTTTTATTCAAACATATTTGCTCTGAATTTACATTGAGCTCTCTGGATATCATCCTCCTTGGGTCTACCCATACGAATTACCTAGTTTTGCATAAACTATATTATATATATATATATATATATATATATATATATATATATATATATATATACACACACAACACTTCAAACTCACCCTATCAGGTGGCATTTTAAGCTAGTTCTTGTGCAAGACTATTGGTTTGGCCATCATCACAATAGCTAGGGAGAAATAAATGTGATAGCCAACAATAAACTATAAAAGGACTCAAAATTGATCACTGCATTTAAGTATTGCATTAATACTTAAGCTTACCTTTTAAAATTTCAACGATAATTCTTCTGCTGTCACTTATTTTAAAGACAATTTGATATGTGTAGGTCATTACTTTCCATGCAAACAATCATTTTTATTTCCTGGATGATTTTTGCTGGATTTCACAATTTCCATTATTCTCAAATTTATTTCCAATTTATTTCAAAAGTGTTATTGTACAAAAAAAAATTTGTCAAAAAAAATCAGGGTAAAAAAAAAAATGCTAAAAACAATTGCAGTAATGAAAACTTAGGAATCCAAAGTTTCAGGATTCTGGATTCAGCAGGAATGTTTTTAATTTGCTCATAGAATCAGTCCAATTCCAAATATAGATTGATAGACAGACAAAGGACATTTTTTGCTTCCATACAATCTCAATGACAGATTTTTTTGTCTCCAATCATTCAAGGTTTTGAAACTTGAAAATGGATGAAGAGTCAAGAGTTAGGAAATGTTCTAGCATAAATTAAGCTTCACATGGATTTGTGTAAAAAAAAATTCCAGGACTTACCCAGGTTACCTATGTTGATAAGTTTCAAGGACTGAAACTGGCATGTGCACATGTATATATGCCAAGTGAATGGTCATCAATTTCTAAAACACAAACTTTGTGACTTATCTCTTAATAGTTTGAAAGAGGAGATGTTGAAAGAAAAGCTACACCTGGTTCCAATAATTCATGTCACATGGATCAGTTGAAAGCAGTGAAGAAAGGAATCCAAGTGTTGAAGGCAGACCTGGTTATGTTACACATTTTGTGTAACATTCTGCACAGTTTGGAGTTCTACTACACTTTAATTCTTACTGCTACACATTTCAGCTATCTAGACAACTCATGGTTTGTGAATCTCACAAAAATTCTTGACTTCTTAACTCCAAAAGTTTAATGATTTTAATAAACAGAAGTAGAAAGAGAAATTTTCACAAAATGACTTCACATTTTAACTACCCCTAGTACTTATGACTTTCATTGCATATGGCACAGACACAACAATATTAACATGTTTTCAGTTCATCTAGTTTAGCATTCAACTCCTCTTCCAATTTTGATATCTCTATGGACTTGTCCTTTGCAGATCTTCACATGGAACTGGACTTTGCAATAAGTATGACATTCTGAGTCTGCTCAGCTTTCTCTCCATAGCTGCCATCTGACTTGAGCAAATCTTGTGTGCAACTTTCAAGTTTGCATTTATCTGGTTTTCAGGTCTTCAATTTCCATGAGCATGGATTTCTGTTTCTGTCCTGCTGCTTCTTCCTGATTTTTTTTCTTCTCAGTCTCAAGGTATTGTTTGTATTCTGGCATTGGAAGCACTGCGGAGAAGAGCCTTAGTTATGGGAACATTCCAAGCACCTCCAACTGTGACCAAATAGTCTATGATAATGTGCTGTGCAACAAAAGTCTGTTGTTTCATATTGCCAGTGGAAATTTCTTTGTTGACTGAGAAACCTCTCTCCACTGAGGTCTGCCCATAAGAGAGTGCCAGAAATCTGCAAACAACTTTCCACAGTTAAGAAAGTATCCAGAGAGTCTTCAGGCTTGCTGAAATTCTTGAACACAATATTTCCAGCAGCCTCCTCCTTAAACTATTTGTACTGACTGATCATATCATTAAAATCTTGTGTTCATCCATGCAAGTGACCTTACAAGAGCATCTCTAAGGGGGAGACTTTGCCAGAAGTTTCTCAATGATGTTGACGAACATTGTCTTTGTTACAATTCTGCGTACAAACACATTTCCTTTTTGGGATAAATTTTGTATAGTCCTATCAGCCAGAAATTCACACTGGATCTTTGCTTATGTTTAGGTTTGACAAAATTCTTACAAATTCATTCAGTTTGGAAAATGTAATTATCTTTTTAGTGTGCTCTTCCTTTACAAATCTTAACAGTAGCTAAAAAGATCATTTGCAAGGAAACGAGGCAATGGTTTATCGCTCTGTTATTTTATCAGAAATGGTTTAATGTCTTTTGAAACAGACACAAAAACCTGAAGTTTCACTAGAAATAAAATGTCATTCATGTCAGAGATATTTTTCTGTTTGTTATTTTTTTTTTAATTAAGTTCCCAAATTTGATAACATAAGGCCAAATGTCTAGGAGTCATTCATGTTTGTACATTTTCTAGCCATCTCTGGCAGAAATACAAAAGTAAAGGGACACTGTTACCAGATTGAACTTTTTATATAAAGCCAAATAATAAAAACCAAATAAGTTTTAATATATTTCATCATTTTTTTTTCACTTAACAAAAGCTAGGAGATACAGGTCATTATTAGCCTGCAAATTTTAAAAGTAACATTCTTATTTATCACCAGCTGACTAAAAATCAAAAGGACTTTGCTTTTACTTTTGAAATTGACATGATTGACATTTCTTCAATTGTTCAAATTTTGAAAAACACTGATAAATCTTTCAAGATTCTACTAAAATGTATTTTATCATTGTAAAATCATTTATTATTTTCCTTTCAACTAAAAATTCAACAAGAGTGAATTAATTTATCTCTGACAGAGATGTTTACTTGTCTCTTATGCCTTTTATCTTTGCTTTTCCTCTTCTCTTGTTCAGAGAGGGTAGCAGCATGAAGACATACCTTCATATTCTTTCTCGTCACATAGACCTAAAAGCTAACTACAAGGTCATGAACTCATTCTAATCAAGGAATCAAACTACTGTTGACAATAATTGCCAAATATTACTGACAACTAAAATAACACTTTTCTTAAAGGACAACTTTAGCTTGTAAAAAGAAGCCAGATTTCTGGGATTTCGCATTTTGACTTTCTTGAATTGAGAAAAAGGATGTGTGGGCAGCACAATTTAGAAAATTCTAGGACTTTTCAAGGAGCTTTTGCACTATTGTTGTTTTTCCAGGACTTTTCTAGCCCCGGGAAAGACACTGTCAATTTTCCAGCACTTCTGGAGGTCCCCCAGGACCTGTACAAACCCTGATGAACTATATACAGAACTACATTTGATTTGGCAGAAGCAAAAGATTTTAACAAAAGTAAAAAGGAAAAAATAGTTATAAAACTTTAAAAATTTCTCCCTTTTAATTAAAATATTTTTATAAATGGGGTTGGGGGAATAAACAACACCTAAGCAAAGTGCATTGATCATAATCATAATAATCATAATCTTTTCAAAACCATAAATGTCACCAAGGACAGTTAAGATTTTGGTATCAATGAAAGGAAAAAGTAGCAACTGACAAACAAATAAATAACATTTTGAAGTGTTTGCCTGTACAGGACAATGTGGAAAGCATATCATGGCTAGGAGGAGGTAAAGAAATTTCATTGAAATGGGTATAAAGAACATATTTGTTTGCCAGATTAACATTTATATAAATCCTTTTCTTTATAAGCAAGTGTTATTTCTCTTTGCCATAACAAATAAGGTTCTTAAAAATCTGATCAAATCTATTGTCACAGAATAAGGAACAAGGGTAATGGTTATCAATTATCAGCATTTCCTATTTGTTAAGCACTTAACTCTTCATTGTAGATATTCATAGAATAAACACATTCTTTTTTTCAAATCTTATTCAATAAAAAACGCGAGGTTTGCCGTTTTTCGGAATTTTCGTAAATTTAATTTTGCCGTTACACATTTGAACTAGTTTATCTACAACACTTGTATATCGTTATAATGGGGCCTCACATCAGTGAGGGGGGCCGGTGTGCAACTGAAACCGTTGAGAGGAAGGCCCCGAAACGGTGCACATACTCTCCTGATGACCCCAGTTTAAAATTCGAGAGGAACACATCAAAATTCAGTGAAGTCATATGTCGTAGAGAAGCTCGGTGGAAGTGTCATTGGCATGAGGAGCATTACACATTCAGCTTGCTTCAGGTGAGTTTCAATTACTTTCCAGTAATTTCCTTCTTCATAGAATAAACACATTCTTTTTTCAAATCTTATTCAATAAATGAAAAGTATTACATTGAGAAACTGTTTATAAGTTAATAGATCCTTTCATTTAATTATTACACACTTAACAAGACGGTTCTTTTATTCTATAGACAAAGTCTCAAAAAGAAAGAAGTCTCCACTATCCCATTCTTCTGAAGATTGTACAAATTGAAAGAAAGAAATTATTTCCAACACTTACATACCATGTAGTCGTCACGTACATAGGTACATCAATAAGTCTGCAGCCTAATAAGAGAAAGGGTTTTATTTTACACAACCAATATTTTTCAACATCTCTTTGTCACTGCACTCGCTTCAGCAGTAAATATTAATCATACAGACCAAATATTACATAGCAAAAATTTCGGATCAAAATCCAGTAACATGTCAGGTCACAGACTTATTGATCCACCTTCATACAACTTTGAATTACCTGGGTAGTTTTACCGCATCCAGTTTCGCCTCTAATGAGTACAACGGGGTTGGTTTTGATGACATGAATAATGTGATCTCTGGAATTATGGATGGGGAGCATAGAACGATCATTCAGCATCTGGTAAGGTGAGAAGAAGAAAAAAAAAAATGTCATTTAGATTACATATTCTATCCATAATGCTTGCATTCATTCCTGACCATTGACAATTCCTTTCTTTCTGATTTTCAATGCAATTTTATTATAAAATTATTAGTAATGCATTTACATTCTACATATAATCATATTCTTATCTGTAATGTTTGCTTTAATTCCTGACCCTTTCTTCATGTTAGAAACTGAATATATAAATGAGCTTAAATCTTAATTCTAAAAAACTTTATAACATTTGATGGTGTAAATCTTCCAATTTCAAATTCAAGCATCAGGATTTTCATTCCTACTTCTTATAAACAAGCTTTTTTAAACAAGGCCAACACTTACAAAGAGAGGGATCATTTATGAATTCCACCATTTCCACACGATATTTCATGGCACAAAATAGATAAAATTTTGTCAACCGTTTACTTACACCATACGTATTTAGCATAATCATTCAAGCAAATGAACATGTAACAAATTCTTTAATGAGTAATAATAATCCTACCAATGTTACTAAAGAGGTAAAATAAAGCAGTTATTGTTAATAAGAAAAGTTTTTTCAAAGCCAAATAGAGAGAGAGAGAGAGGGCCAAAAACCCCAAAGACAAGGAAACATCATAAATGCGGGTGGGGGGGGGCACTTTAATTTCTGTGGTGTTCACTTACGTTTTGGAGTTCCCTATCATTGGCCTTCTGTTCTTCTAGTGACTGGTACACATCCTGGCTGATTTGTTCCATTGTTGCCTGAGAGAGAAGAAAAGGAAACACGGTTAATGATTTCACACAATCTAAAATTATACAGTACAGGTTTATTTTTAAAAAGCAAATAATAATTAATAGAAAAGGTAATTAACATTTTAAGAAAAATAATTTAACTCCTGGAAACAAAGAGGAAAAAGAGAAAAAAAGAGGAAAAAGAGAAAAAAAGAGGAAAAAGAGAAAAAAAGAGGAAAAAGAGAAAAAAAAAAAGAGAAAAAAGAGGAAAAAAGAAAAGAGAAAAAAGAGGAAAAAAGAAAAGAGAAAAAAGAGGAAAAAGAAAAGAGAAAAAAGAAAAAAAGAAAAGAGAAAAAAGAGGAAAAAGAAAAAAAAAAAGAGAAAAAAAGAGAAAAGAAAAAAAGAAAAAAAGAGAAAAAAGAGGAAAAAAAAGAAAAAAAAGAAAAAAGGAAAAAGAAAAAAAAAAAGAGGAAAAAAGAAAAAGAGAAAAAAGAAAAAAGGAAAAGAAAAAAAGAGAAAAAAAAGAAGAGAGAAAAAGAAAAAAAGGAAAAGAAAGAAAAAAAGGAAAAAGAAAAAAAGAAAAGAGAGAAAAAGAGAAAAGAAAAAAGAAAGAAAGAAGAAAAAAAGAAGAAAAAGAAGAAAAAGAAGAAAAAGAGAAAAAGAAGAAAAAGAGAAAACAAGAGAAATGAAACAGAGAGAAAGAGAACCAGAGAGAAAGAAAGGGAAATGAGAGAGAAAACAATAGACCGAGAGAGAAAGAAAGTGAGAGAGAGAGAAAATGAATGATAAATGAAATAGAGAAAGAAAAAACAAAAGTGGAGGAGGAGCGGAGGAATAGAAAAAGAAGAGGAGCGGAGGAATAGAAAAAGAAGAGGAGCGGAAAGAAAAAAGAAAAAGCGGAGGAATAGAAAAAGAAGGAGCGGAGGAATAGAAAAAAGAAGAGGAGCGGAGGAATAAAAAGAAGAGGAGCGGAGGATAGAAAAAGAAGAGGAGGGCGGAGGAATAGGAGCGGAGGAATAGAAAAAGAAGAGGAGCGGAGGAATAGAAAAAGAAGAGGAGCGGAGGAATAGAAAAAGAAGAGGAGCGGAGGAATAGAAAAAGAAGAGGAGCGGAGGAATAGAAAAAGAAGAGGAGCGGAGGAATAAAATTAAAAATTAAATTAAGATTAATAAAGAGGATTTTTCTTACATGTGCCAAGGGTCCTTCATCAATATTACAATTTGTCCAAGGATTCCAATTGGGTTGTGGTGGACACCAAGACACCACGCCCGGCTGAGGACGTTTTGGTGCTGGAACAAACTCATCCAGTTGAGTATGAGTTACTAGAGAGACTGGCTCCGTACAGGATACAGACTGAAACACAGAGTTTAATATTTCAGAAATTTTACAAATCACAAACTTCAATATTTTAGTCCCTTGGTTCATTGAAGTCATAATGGTAAATAATAATAACAGTAAATACTTACACAGTAATAATTAGTTGCATCCACAAGTTATATATATGCATAAAATGTTTTGTACAATTTAATACTAACAGTGCTTTTTTCAAATGTTTTTAGTGCTTAAATATTATCATCATTAACCTAGGGAACCCAAGTAATACCTCACTATAGGACTAGGTTTTTCTTTTGAAGCCTTTTATTTTCTAAAGTAAACCAATTTCAAATAGATGTGGTAGTTAAAAAAAAATTTTAAATAATAAATAAATTTGGCAACTGAATAATAGTCATGTATAAAATGTGTGTAAGAAAAGCCCATACATTTTTCCTTTGCTATAATCAGATTATGTAGGGAACTCCACTTGGTTACGTAAAAAAACAGCCTAGCATGATGAAAAAGGGCCCCTAACTCAATAAAAACAAAGTTTTTTTCATTAAAGACCAAAGTATTTTTTAAAATTATTTTTTGAAATTTTTTACTCCTTTGTAGCACGTTCAAAATTTTGCTTAAAAATTTTTTTTTTTTTTACGTCAATGGTGGAACAAAGATAAAGGTTAGTTTCTTTTTTGCTTTTTCCAGGAAAAAACATACCAATTTGGAAATTCTTTCAAAAATCAAATAATTGTCAGATTTTAATGAGACTTTCAGGACATATTCAAAAATGAATGAAATTTTTTTTTTTTTTAAGAAAAACTTGGTAAAATTTTGAGAAATTAAATAATTAAGGGCGGGGATTTTTATTAGTTATAAGGAAGATTCCTTGGAGATAGTAAATCAATTTTTTTTGTAAAACATTTAACCCATTCACCAAAAATCTGCTCTGAATTGTAAAATAATAATAAATAAACTATGACATTAATTAGAAAAGCTTTTAATTGATTTGATAAATAAGATTTATTAAGGACACTACTGTCTTAACATTTTTTTCAATGAATAATTAATTTTTACAAGAATTGTTTAAATTTTTTAAAAATTTTAATTAAATAATTTATAATAATAAGAAATCGTTTAAGATTCTGCATTGCTTCAAGCCGTCAGTTTGTCAAGTGAAAAGTACATTTACTAATCAAAAATTGAAAAGCTCATAAGTTCTTTGTGACCCAATATTTAAAAAAAAAAAAAATTTAGTGTTTAAGCATTCCCAATTTCTACCTATAAGAACCTATTCATGACATAATCCTTAAAAAAATATATTGTTAATGGTACTGGGTTAAAATACCAAATTTTCAACAATTATGTAATTAATAATAAAATTTAAAGTACTATAAAAATTTAATAATAAAATAACCATCATGATGATAATAATAAATAAAATACCGTAACATTTCATAAATTATTGATTTTTACCTCTATCATGGTATTTTATGTCAGTTATTAAATTTTAAATTTAATCTAAGAAAATTTCATTTTATTTTAAATTTTATCATTTTTTTGTAAAGTATCTTCAAAACATAAATAAAAGTCAATAAAATATTAGATAATTACTGAAAATATTATGTTATTTGTAAAAATTACTAGGTAGTTAAAAATGCGTTCACTTAGATTTTGGAAAAATTATGTTAATTCTGGTCATCCAGACTAGATGTAATCACCTTGTAACTTATCAGTTACATTGATAACGTCAATAAAGACATGATCAAAAGAGGATCCGTTGTTAAGAAATGCTTGTATACTATATTTTTTTATGCTATAAGTAATTTGTTTCAAATAGGATTTATTTAACTTGAAATTTGCTAATTTTACTCAAATAATGTGTCACAAATATATTACTAAATTTCTGAAAATTTTTAAAATTGAAAATTTTGTTTTGTTTACAAGTTTCTTAAAATTAAGAAAATGTCTGGTTTTAAGAAAATTTTCTTAAATGGGCCGAAAAGTTGAGATTCCAATCTATATAATTTTTATTTAAAATTCACCTGAATATTTTACTTACTGGAAATAATAAATTTAATCATTTAGCTTTCAATTAATGCTAAATGAAATCTTCAAGAATGCCTTTTCATTTTTAAAAATTAATTTTAAACCTTAGGTATAGAAAAGTCAGTGGAGATCCATAAGATAATGGTACTGAAATTGACAAACTAAGTTGCTATTTCAGAAGCCACTTACAAATGTCTCAATATCTAAAGTGAAAAGTTCTCTGGATTTCAGGTCCACCTACAGTAACCCTTGCATCTTAGTGGCATTATCACCTTACTTGGGGTAAAATGATCAAAAAAAAAAAAAAAAAAAAAAAACAACACTCACCACTTGAGTAGGGGTGATGTTCCAAGACTGCAGGGCTTCGTCAAGGTTAGCTTCCAGTTCTGGGCTGACAGCAACCTCAAAGGGTGGTATCTAATTAAAAAAAAAAAATTTTTTTTAATATTCCCAGTGAGTGAGTGAGTGAGAGAGAGAGTGTGTGTGTGTGTGAGTGTGTGTGTGTGTGTGTGTGTGTGTGAAAAGACTGCATAGAACTTTTAGTTGTCATTTACTGGGAATTTATTTAGGAATATTAAGGCTCTGCCAGTTAATATGGCATTGAGCTCTCTTCCTCTGGTGTGTTGCTCTGTAGCAGACTCCATTAGGATTTGCTTTTTATTTTTTTTTTATATATATATATATATATATATATATATATATATATATATATATATGCGCATGTAAGTATATAGAAAAATAGGAAAGAACCGTTAGGTTAAAAATCCAAAGTTCTTTAGTATTTTTGTTTTTATAAAACAGTGCTCAATACAACATTAGAGCCTATATTATAATTATTTTATTTTTTTAAAAATATGATTCCATCAAGTAATATTAATTCACTTTTCCAACTTTTACATTAATGGAAATTGAAAGTCAATACTAATTTTTAATCTTATTTTACTTTTTATTTCTATATGGATTTCACTACGTATTTGTCCCTAAAAAATTAAAAATTATATTACTCAAATTATTTTTCCCCTTCACAATGATTTATCCCAAAAATAATACAAAGGTTAAAAAGATGTCTAATATTCTAATCTATACTTTAACTGCCTCTGACCACAAATTATTTTCACTTGATACATCGACCTAACCAACCTAAGAGACCGTTAAAGTTCAAATTTTACATTCTAACGGAATTCCATGGCCAGATTTATCTCTTCTTAGCGCTTATCACCTCCTCCTCTTCCCATGACCTCTTTCTTTTCCTTCCCCCCACTTTTTCCTTTTTGCCCACAATTACTAATGACTTAGATTCCCTTCCATCTCCACATGTAAATTCTAGAATACCTTTTATGAAAATTTTCAAATTTGATAACTGTATTTCTGAATAAAAGTTTTTAGTAACATTGTGATTCCCCACTTGAGACATTTTAAAAAAGGTTTTCCTTTTTTGGCGTTGAAACAAAAATGTATAATTTTGTAATGGATATGTGCATGTTCTAATGTAACACTGCATAAGAAATAAATAAATACTTATGGCTCTACTTTTTGTATTGAGCACTGTTTTTAAATTAAGGTTTTGAAGCATAAAAGATCTTACTGTTCATTCTTCTACACTCTGTTTAAAGTAAAAATAAAAATATTTATATATATATATATATATATATATATATATATATAGAGAGAGAGAGAGAGAGGTGTGATTGATAAATTGTCATCTAAATTACGCAAAAATGAAAATAACAATATCTCATTTTAAGATATATTTACCAAAATTACACAATATCGAGAAATACTTGAGTGAATTTATTCAATAAAATCGCCATTGGCTTCAACCCCAATCTCCAGGCTACTTCAGAATCTCCTGCAACTCTTCTGGACAGTCTCCTTGTTTAAGTTGGTGAATGCTGCTATAATCCTTGCGTTCAGTTCATCTTTTGCATTACAAGAAGTTTTGTTGCTCTCTCACTCAACTGTGCCCCACACACAATAAATAATCAGAGGGCTTGCAGTCTGGGGAGTGAGGTGGCCAGATGTAAGGGGGGGTGATGTGGTCACAGAAATTGTTTGACAGCCATGACTGAGTTCTCCTGCTTGTATGGCATGGTGCAGAGTCCTGTCACCCTCTTTACCCTGGGCAGGACGACCTCCTCAAGGCACTTGATGTAGGCCTCTGTATTGAGTCTGAAGCCCTCACCAACAAATTTGCGAATTCTTTTCTTATCAGAACAATCAGAATGAGCTTTCTGTGCTGCTGTAGTTTCGTAATCATCATTAGACTCATCCAACTCATTCTGAATCCTCAGCACTGTTTTCAGATTGACACCCAAATTCTGAAAAATTTGTATTGGAGCTTCTGGTGTGAATGCTATTTCCAAATTTCTGGCAGAGCGAATTTCATCATGGTGCTCTTTTTTTCTCACAGATGGAGCTCAACTGACCCCACTATATTGTGCAGTCAACAAAATCAAAATGTGCATGTGTGAAATTAAAAACATAGAATGGCGACAATTTACCGATCACAACCGATAACTTTGAGTGTTATCTAGTGGTTTACTCATATTTGAAATAGGCATCTTATTTTTATTTATACTTTAAACAGTGTGCATTACATCTATCAGTTTGTATGCCTGAAAAGAGATAAAATGTGCTGTCAAGCAGAAACTGAACATATGCTCCTCTTTGTTGGAAGAACTAGTATTTGATTTGGTAAGGAGTAAAGATCAAATATGGATCACAGAATCCAACAGAAAGAGATAAAAAACAAATAGGAAACATTTATCAATCTAACATGTTTTACTTTTATTAATAATGAAACTTTAATAAAAGCGAGACATGTTAAATTGATAAACATTTTCCTAATTGTTCTTTATCTTTTATATCTTGTGCTTATACTAATCATTATTTGACAAATATCAATAAAATGGAGGATCTTTATTCATAACAGTATTGTATTGCATATTTGCAGAAATAACATGATGTCTCACCAATTCTACAGTTAGCACATCTAAATTTATATAACATATAACAAAGAATCAATTAGTATTTTATCTTAATTTAAAAACAAAAATACAATCTTCTGACTTGTGAAAACAATCCTCAACCAAACACAAACCCTACAAAATTTTGGACCAAATCATTAATTTTAAATTAAACTTAAATAATAATCCCCAAAGTATGAAAATTTAAAAACTTGCAGAGTCTGTTTTTTTTTTTTTTTGTACCTATTTGTCTGAATTCAGGTTGCCATTCCAAAAACATTTATGTTTTTGTATTTGGCAGTTAATAATATTTTGGATGAACATTAATAGACCCCCACCCCAACCCGCAAGTTTTTCTTTTCATAATTTAAATCATTATTTTTCTTATTATTAGTTATTTCATGAAAAGTAAGTTTTAAATGAATTGTTATTTTAGCGATCAGAATGTTTTTTTTTTTATACTCAATGCACACACAATTCCAAATAAACAAATGAAGCGTGTGATAAACCAAGTTATCTCCCCTTAATTAAAAGCCCACAGTCAGTTTCCTGTAGTTTGTAGATCAATTGTCAGCTGCTTTTATTCCTGTCATTTCAGCCAACGAGCTGAAAAGTCATCTTACCTTATCAGCATCTTTCTTCTTCTTTTGTCCTGTATAAGATTCAATGACATTCATGTGGTACAATTGGCGCACCAAAGAGAGAGCACAAGATTTAGAAGCCACTTGCTTGTTTGATCCATGTTCTCTGGCCAATACGTCTGCAAAAAATCAGAACCAAAGAGAGAAAGATGAACATCCAAAGGCCATTCAAACTTAAGCCCAAATAACCAAATACCACTGGTAAGCATCTACAACTCTTGCTTATCAAAAAAATTTCAAAAAAAGGAATCAAAAAGTAGACAATGTGCTAAGAATTCCCCAATGAGGCCCATTTTCTATCGTTTTGTTGGTGTTAATATTTTCATTTTATTAAAATTTTGGGTATCATTACCAAAAAAAAAAAAAAAAAAAAAAAATTATGGATGAACAAGGAGAGTAAGTTATGCTGTTTTTTTTTTTTAAGGTGTTGGTAATGACAGAAAATAAATTCTTCAAAAAAGTTATCTGGAAGTATCAAGTAAAAATCTATATAAATAAAGCTCAGTGTATGCGTGTCCGTATGTTTTTCGATTTTAGTGAATAATAAACAACCTGAAGTAACAGTAAGTACTGTAGTTACACACAATTAAAAATTAAATAAGTTAAATTTAAGTATTAAACAGAGTGAAAGGTTTTAAAAAAAATTCTTTATTAAAGTTTTAACTTTAATTTTGCTTTTTGTTGATTTTAAAACAGGGTATGGTATGTTGCTCACGCTTTCTTTTTCTACCATGCATACTGTAACATATTCAAAATATTACATAGTTCAGGTTCCCTAATGACTTTTATGAGTGACTTTATGTGGAGGGATCATAAAGAAAGGCGATTTTAAAAGAAAATAAAAAGTGCGTGCAAAATAAATGTAAACCAACTATGGAGAAAAGTTGTGTATACGAAGAAAGATTATGACGAATTAAGAAGCTGAATATAGATAAAATAATTTTATTATTTCTAAATTCTTATAACTTTTACATCCATCAGATGCTGAAGGTAAAAGGTCAAAGGCTCAAATGCCCTCCACAGAAGATAGCCTAAAGTCTGCCCAAAGGGTGGCTTCTAAGCTAGCTTTAAATAAATATTACAAAAAGCAACTGTAGCATTTAGCTTGCATAATTTTCTATTAAAACAAACAAATATTAACAAGATATATATTTGCAAGAAATGTGTTTTCCAGAGGCTAACAACTGGAGGAGGTGCAGTTACTGGAGTTCAAATTCTAGCTTAGTCTACTGTGTTCGCTTTCACACTAATGCTCTTAAGAAAAGCTTGAATCCATCTCTTCTCCCTCCAGCTATGGGTTAAATAGTAGAATTGTTACATATTTCTCACTGTTCAGCCTTGACAGTTCAAAAATGTTTACACAGCTTTGTGGGTGACAAATTATTTTCTACCCTGCAACCCAGACAAAACATTGCTTAGTTTCTCACTACTATCACTATGGTAGATGTTCTAACAAATTACATTCCTTATCACAAATTTTCACAGCTAGGACCTATCATGCTATTTTCACAGTGGTAAATGAATTCTTTTCATGTTCCTTTGGTTATAGAGTAAGTCTCACTCAAACAACTCCAGAATTGTTACTTTGTTGAACAGTCTCCCGAGAAGATGCTTCCTGGGCCCTACAAATGTTAACATCTTCAAAGTCCAGGATCAACTATTATCTATCCTATAATATGCACTACCTGATCCTCCTAACAATCACAATCAGTAACCTTCTACCTTGGGTGGCCTTTGGGCCTTCTATTTGGGAACTAAAGATTAAAAAAAAAGACTTTAGCTTTGGGTGGCAGTCATTGAAGGAAAAGGACTATGAATTCTAATCTGCGGAGAAGGAAAACCATGCCACTATTTTTTTTCCATTAAGTTGATTGGATTGAATTAAATTTTTATTTTACAACACACCAACCTTGTAGACAATTTTATGCCAAGTAAAGTGCATTGTGGAACAGTCATTGAAGGAACAATTGTGCAAGATTTTCAGTAGAATTCTGAAAGTACTTTCCCTTTTTATATTTAGGTATTTTGGGGTCAACTAGCATTTTAGACTTTTTTTTTTTTATATAAGTGTTTGAAATGGTTCGTTTTTTTTTCAGATAGTCTATACATATATCGTCCTCCAAACTCCATTCAGACATAATCGTTTATTCGGATGCCACAAAACAGATTATTTTGCTGGAGTTAACTGTCCCATGGGGTGAGGAGCATATGCAGAGAGGCATTTGAGAGAAAGTACAGTAAATATGAAGGACTCTTAGACGATTGTAGAACTAAAGGATGGCACCCTCATTGTTTCCCCGGTCGAGATCAGCTGTAGGGGATTCGCCGGACAGTCAATGATACGAGCCCTTACTAGCCTAGGGATAACTGGATAAAAGAAAGGAGGGTGATTCAAATGATCCTGGAGTCCGTCGAAAAGTCAACCAGGTGGTTATGGATAAATAGGGCTAATGAGTGACCCAAAACTACTAAAAATACGAACATTCCCAGTGTGGATGATCATACATTGTAAATACCACCACTAAATACTTTTAAAGTTTAAATTGTATATAGATTTGTATAATGTATGTTAAAATTGTATATATAGATGACGAGAAGCTTCAGAAAATCAATTTATTCGATTTGCATTCAGTCACATATTCAACGACTTCATTTTTGCATTATACTGGTCTTTCGAGTAGATTTATTTTACTACAAAAATATTCTTACACGTAATTTTTCCTTTACTCACAATTTTTTTTTTTTTCCTCTCCATAATTACCCTTTTTTCATTTCTGGGGGTTTTTTTTTTGTTTTTTTGTCATATTTACTTATTTTTTCAATCGGTTTCCTTTAAGGATAATTTTTTTAGGAATAACTTATTTTAGCTAAATTTACACGCTATTTTTTCTTTTAACTATTATTTAATATGTAAATAAATATCTTGATTAATTTATTTCAAACAATTTCAGTTATATGTTATTTCTCTTAGTTTTTAAACGAATTTCTTCTGTTAAGGATATTTTTTGGGGAGTAACCTATTTTATCTAAAATTTACATGTTGTGTTTTCTTTTTTTTAACTAGTATTTCACATGTAAATAGCTTGATTAATTTATTTTTAAGCAATTTTAGTTAAATGTTATTTCTCTTAGTTTTTAAATGGAATTTATTAGAATATCAATCAATATCCCAAATTATTCATACCGCATTTTAGAAGTTTTCTTTTTGTAAATGGTCTAAGTCATTTTAATCACTTTATTGTAAACATTTTGTTAAGTGTAGTTAAGAAAAATAAGAATAAAAAGGAAAGTTATAAAAAGAGAAAGACCAAACAAATAAGATATAATAAAGAAGATAAAAGGGGAGGAAGAGAAAGAAAAATCATAATACAAGCCAATATAATAAAGCATTTTTATTTTATTAATGTATATATATATATATATATATATATATATATATATATTTATTGCTTTGTTTTCTTCTCTTCTTCCAAAAAAAACACTGTGTCTTGTCCGCATGTAGGAAGATCAGTTCAACCAAGCATACCCAATCTAACATCGAATAGCCCAAGTGAAGTCTCAATTAGTTGCCATTTTCTGGGGGAACTTATATAATGCACGTCCTAAAGCTAGTAGTAAATTTTATTCTGAGTGAGACCCAAATACTAATCATATTCAGTCGGGTCGCCCAACAAAGAAGTATGTTGTTTATTTAGACCCGAAACTTCTAGTGACAGGGGAGCAACAACACTGACGACACACCTAGATTTGGCACTTAAAAGGTGTATTTTTTAATAATTACTTGAGATACATTTTTGACCATAACAGTATGGTTTGGTACATCATAGTATTTTTGGCACATTTTCTTATATTCTTTGCCATCTATTAAGACGTACGTGACAGTGAGAAATTGATCACAGATGCACAGAGAAGCCATTTCTGCTTTGAGTAACTATTTGCATGTGTCCAATTCAGAATCTGCTTAGCACTATGTCCTGTTTATGACTAAGTAATTGTTCTCTATTAGACAATCTGACTTTCAACTGATCTTCATACAGTTTGTTTGGAAACATATCCCAAATTGAGTAACTATTTGCGTGTGTCAAATTTGGACGCTGCTTAGCACTACGTCCTGTCTTCGACTAGGTAATGGTTCTCTATTAGAAAGTCTGGCTGTTGACTGATCTTCATAAAGTTTGTTGTTTGGAAACATATCCCAAATTGTTTGCCATTTTCTTTTAATGTATTGCATGATTTTATTTTTGTATATTGTCATTTTGGTTGCCTCTTTTGCCAGTGCTCACCTTCAAGGAATAAAAGCAGAAACAGTGGTATAGTAAAAAGAAAAAAATATATAAAAATAACTACTAAACACAAAAGTTCATTTAAATACCTGAATTTATCCACAAAAAAGCATATAAGAAATGGCAGTAAATACTGTATAATTTTATGTTTCATATAAGACTACAAATATACAACAGCAGTATAATTTTTATTAGATGAATCATTGCCAATCATTATTATTAATTTTGAATATCTTTCATCTTAATTTTTTTTAATTGCCTTTTACCACAACTTCACTCACTCAGGCTGTCAGTCTACTGCAGTGAGTAGAGAGTGAAGGATTAAAAATAAAAAGATAAACTCACATCCCTTTGTTCAAAGGAAAACCTGGAGAATGGCCAATTGCTTTAATCGCTAAGCTACAAGAACCTCATGGCTTTGTAGAAAAGCAAGTCTCACCTGTATCACATCATTCTCCATTCATTATCAGTGATGTATTATTAAGATGAAAGTAAATAATAAGTATAGATGCTTGTAATGGTTAATAGACAAGTTCTATTAAAAATCAACACAAAGAGAAAATCTATAAATATTTTACTACAAACATTAATTCTTTCATCAAATAAAATTACTGTTGTCAAACTGCGAACCCTATATATATATATATATATATATATATATATATATATATACACATACACACAATGAAAAAAACTTGCACCAATGAAAATTGCATATAAAAAGAAAAATTGACAGGTATAAATAGTAAATTGGTGATATACCCTGACAAGTGGACAGAATGATTCCCAGAGGGGTCCATCTACGAAACTGAAGTGGGGATGCTGTTAGGAACATTAATCAGCTAAATGACAAAGTTTATATATATATATATATATATATATATATATATATATATATATATATATATATACACACACTGAAAACACATAACATGTACAGAATAACAGGGACGTTCTGATAATATTAGGGACACCCGTTCAAGAACTTACGTTTGCTGATGGACTTCACGTATATTTTCATCTCGGCAATAAAACTCCTGCAAAAAACGAAAAAAGCGAAGCAAAACACTTATAATGAGCCTCTATTTGAAAATTTTGGTTTCTGTCAACAGAATTTAGGGAAAAGAGAAAGAGAGAGAGAGAGAGAGAGAAAGACAACAAGCAATCAAACATAAGAGAAAGCTACAATGACAAAATAAAAATATTGTATAGAATGAGAAATTGTAAAGATCAAGTTACCAGTTAAAAAAAAATGTCAACATCCACAAATGACACTTTCCTGATAGAAAATACAAAATGGGGGTTAAAAAAGACAAGGTTACAAAATAACAAGGATTTTAATTGGTCACAATAAATAAAATAGGATTTTGTTTTAAGAATTAATCATTTAAATTAGAAAGGCAAAATGAAAAGAACAGATGACAAGAAAAAGGCATTTTTAAGTCAACATTTTGTTACATAAACTGAACAATATATTTTGTATTTGATTCATATTAAACTGCAAGCAAATAGTCTTTAAATTATGGTCAAGTATTTGTGTAAATTGATGTTTGCAATGTGCAAAAAGTGAAAAGGTAAAAGCAGTTACATTTTGTCAAAGAGACAACTGTAAAATCCTAACAATTGTACAGTGAAATGTCTTTTTTAAATAATAATAAAAATACAATCTGGATAATGTGAAATTAATGTAACCCAGGGACAGAGATGGGTGGTAGGTTGTTGGAAGTAGTTAAGGGAAGTAATTTATTAAAAACTCGGGGTGCGGTGGGGTGGGGGGAACAGCTGCACTCTTAAGAGCTATAATCTTTTTACTTCAAAAGCATGTGAAAAAAATTAAGCAATTAAATTCTAAAATTATATGGAAAACTATAGCTGTTAAATGGACATGATAGGGAGGTTTGTTAAATAGCTTGAACAGGTAGGCAAACAAATAAAAGCAGTCAAATTCAAAAGTATAGAAAAAAAAAAAAAAAACACTTGTGTATTAAAACTAAGTCCAACAAGTAACTGCCTTGAAACCATTCTACATTTTCAAGTGTTTTTTTTTTCTTTCTTGGTTTTGACAAATTTTCACAATTACAGTGGTTAATTTGAAGCACATTCTGTTATGAAAACTAGCCAACACAAATCAGGGGTCCCAGAATTTTGTTAGATTATTTATTTAAAAAAAAAATTTTTTAAAATTCACATGATTATGATAGCGCTTTTATTTTTTTTTTTTTTTTTTTTTAGACATTCATTGCAAAGTGTTAAGGCATTTATAAACTTAAAGTTAGTTTTTGGTTTTAAAAAAATTGATATTAAAAAGGTGGGTGAGAACGACATGTTTGAGATTCATTAAATAAAATCAAAATTTTTATCTTCCAGACAAAAGGAAATCTGACTAAGCCCAAAGTGGAATGATTAATGCTCTTTTCAAAAACAGAGGCTGTCTTAGGGTTAATTTCCTCTCTGAGGAATGTGACACTACTTAATGTTGGAAGATGTTTAATGCTGATAAACAAGGATTAAAAGATAGACTGCTCAGCTATAATATTTAATGCTGGAAAATAGGGTTTAGAAGATATAATGAAGGATAGACTGATCAGCTACAATGAAGAAAGAAAATTAAAGATTTTATTTTTAAGAAGAAATTAAGATTCTCAAAGGATGAGAATTGCAGAAAGGATAATGTTCTGATAGAGCAATGTGGCAAGTCTTAGAGTAATTAATTACGAGAAAGGCACTGGAGATAGTCAGGATGGGCTGACTTGGCCAAGAGGGTGGTCGAAGGACCCGGAGCTGAGAACAATAGAGTCTTAAGTTTATAAAACAAGAAAGTGTGTAAGCTGTAATTTTACTAATAGGTAATCTTCAAAATTGATGAATGATACTCATTAAAAATGCTGGTTATCAAAACAAAATAGAACGCAGATACGATCTGTTGTCCAGAAGTGGAAAACAAAGATTCTTCGTAAACAGGCATAGAATTTAAGGAATGGCTAATCAAGAAGGGCCATGTGTTAAATAACAGAATTTTGACAAGGTGAGAAAAAGACTTGCATAGGCAAATTTCTGAATGATAATTTTAATTCTAATGCTGACAAGCCAGAAAACCCTATGTAAGCGAAACATCAAGGAGATAAAGTCTTCTAATTAATGAGGTAAATTGAATCACATCATGAAGATTGAGATGCCATTGGCCAAGTGGTAGCCATAGTGGCAGGCACAGCAAAGATAACAGGAAAGATGGAGAAATTATTAATGCCCTTTCGAAAGGTGTTAGTGTAAGATGTCAATAAGTGAGAGGAGGGGCATGGGCAGATCAATATCCTTCATCATACCCAGCTAAAGAGGAGGTCTTAGCAAAAATTGCAAGCATAAGCGATTTTAAACAATGGACCTTAATTGGATTTAGAGCAATCGCTGAAACCTCAGACCATGTCTTGCCCCACGCTGATATGGAGCAAGGGCCTATATAAGCAAATACACAAGGCCAAGGAAACAAGTCTGGAGAAGCACGGAGAATTCTGTCGAGCGCTGTTAAGAGTCCGTATTGAAGACCGACCAGCTTGCTGAGATTGCCCACATGACCCCTGCAAAGAACAAGAACTCTAACTTTGAAGAAAAACTATGCTAAGACCAAGAAGCAATCAACAACAAAGTTAATATGAAAAGCATATCAAAGTGAACATCGAAAAACCGAACAAGTTAACATCAAAAAGCAGAATTACACTAACACCAAGAACAGAATGAACTCCACATTGAAAATAGAATTTCATAATCCAGCTCTGTGAACTTGCCTAAATGTGACACTCTTTTAATTAAGACAGGTTGGGACAATAATTGCTGTAAACCAAAGAACCTATATAAAGAAGGTGAACTTTGTTACTTATCTGTGCATCATTTTTTTTTTTTTTTTTATTGATGTGCACCCTTCACTTGAGCAGATTGACTTGGTACCAAAGATTCTGACAGCAACCGGACCTGACCATCTCATGATTAAAAATTCACAACATGGGATAGGATAAAGGTTGGGACTGAACAGGTTAATTCGGTAACTTACTGTAGCATCATACATCCTAAAGACATTAAAAGCCAGAAGGTGGTACGTTATTGGTCCCATGACTGAAGGCGGCCAAAGGTACCACATTATTGGTGACCAAGACCAAAGATCAACCCCCAGAAGGTGTCACAGAATATCTGAGTTGGATCTTTTATTCAGAATCCTGAGAGGAAGGATATATGCCAAAGATGGTTGGAGAAAATAGAGAACAAAAGAAGAGAACTAAATCTGATCCCATTACACAATTTACCTTTAGTATTATTAAATCAAAAAAAGACATGAACCCAGGTTAATTTCTCTGCACAAAATAAAGTGATAACTAAATTTAGATAATGAGTATTTTAACAATTACCCACCAACACTCCCATACGATTTACTTAAGGTCAAAAATCAGGTTTTAATCATCTGAAACATCTATGTAAGCATCTTTCCTACTTGAATATGAGAAGAGAAAAGTGGGTTAAAAATCTTGTTTGGGTTGTTATATACTGAACAGCAGCAGCAGGAAACAAATATTACAACCTACAGAGGCAGACATGTACAGATTTGGGGATTTGTACAACTTCTCATCTCAGAAATCCATTTCTTATTGGCAACAACATTAATGCAGGTTACAGTTGGCTCAGTCCAATATTTATATGCAATACAACAATGCAGTTGCAACTGAAATGTACACGGTTGAATGCCTGACATTGCTATTCAGAAAAAGTTCCTCACACAATATATTTTCAATCATATTTTTTATATATTTTTTTTTTTAAATGGCTGTTATAATTTTGATGTTTGCAAGCCAGATGAATCAGGCTTTTTGTTGGTTTTTTTTTTATTCTGAAAAGTTAATGTTAAACTCTCACCTTCAACAATAGGATTCATTTTTTATTTTATAGCACTTCATGCCAAATAAGGTGTTTTGTGGAACAGTCATTGAAGAAACTGTTGTGCAAGATTTTTAGTAGAATTCTGAAATTTGGAATTATAGTGTAGTTTGGGAGAACTTTTTCTTTTTATGTTTAATCATTTTGGGGTTAATTTACTGTATTTTGGGCTTTCTTCTAAAAGTGTTCAAAGTGGTTCATTTCTTTCAGGTAGCCTATTTGAGAAACAGATTTTTGAAAAGAACTTCAGCTCAAAAGTGCATTTCTTATTGGCAACAACATTAATGCAGGTTACAGTTGGCCCAGTTTAATATTCATACATAATACAACAATGCAGTTACAATTAACATCCATAAGGTTGAATGCCTGACATAGCCCCACTGAATATATACTTTTACTTTTGAGTATTTCATTTTCACTAAGAAACAAGATATTACCAAGTGTGAAAGAATCTGAACAAAAAAAAAAAATTAGCGAAATAGGATAATAAAAGAACAGGAATGAAGGAGACAGAAGATCATGATTGACAATGGTCTTCAAAAATTTAAAAACAAAGTTGATCAGAAAGCAAGAAGCAGGAAGAGAGTACAGAATTTATGGTTACATTTAGCAATTTCAACTGTGAAATGATGAGACCAAACTGTCAATCTAGTACTACAATTAAATTTGTAAAGTTGAGGTATCAAAGAAGAAAGCTCATCAAAATAATTGCCTAGAAAATATAGTTATCAAAAACTGTTTATTACTAAATAAAAAAAAAATATCACCACCAAGCATTAGAGAACAAACTTTGACATTTATATTCGGGAAGGGGGGGGCTAAAATAAAACAAAAAACTCTAATAATTCCCAATTTAAATCTGATAAGGTTGCAATGTCAGCAAATATTCCTTATTCATATGCAGCAATGTCTCCTAAATTATCCTGATAAGCTATTGAAAAGATTAATCATTCAGAAATTTAATGGGAAAATAATTATTGCAAAAAAGAAGTTAATCAACCTGAGAGTGTAATTGCTAAAATATTGTAGGTTTATGAAGATACCAGTTCTTTTAAGAAAATCATGAGTAGACATAAAATGACTCCTCAGCAGAATTGGTTGATTCAAAGACTCCTTTGTTGAATATTTTGATACAGCAGAATGGGCGATGCACAACAAGTCACTGAAGAATTTGGCACAAAAAATCTCTTAGCAGAGAGTGTAGCATTGCTGATGTGTGAAACAGAACCTTGTATGCACATTCTCCTGCTGTCATAACACTCCTCAGCAAAAAAGACTGATTTGACACTGCAAATGAACCCTATCCCTGCCCCAATAAAAATTGGGCAACAGTACTTTTCAAGTTTATTTTGGTCAGCTCTGACACCAGATGAATAAAGATTGTTGCCCAAATCTGTGACAAAACAAAAATTGAGAGATTAGTGTGGATGATGAAACCAACTTCCATTGATTTGGTTACATGGCAAAGTCAATGCAGTAATGTATAGGTTCCTTTCCTGAAAGTATCTCCTGTCCCCAAGACTATCTTTAGGCAAGGTAATGTCCCTTGCCATACTGTAAAAATGGCAGAACAATTCTTTGAAGCTGAAAACATCAAAGTTATGACATGGCCTGCCCAAAATCCCAAGAGAAAATCTTTGAAAGATTATCAACAAAAATGTTAGGATAAACGAACCAATGACAGTGAATGACTTGTGGCAAAAGCCTCAGAAGGAATGTGAAGAAGTCATGGAGTTGTAGACATGCAGAACTAATTAAAAACCATTGACTGTACACATCTCAACATTAACTTCAGAATTTTGTTTATTTACATCTATATTTAAAACTGCATCTTTTAATTTTGTAATAAACAATTTTTGTTTGATAACTTTATTTTTTGTTCATTCCTATGAAAAACTATGACAGTATAGAAGGACATTTACTGCAATTTTTATCAGAAATGAACTGCTAGAATTGGAAATTTCTTACACCCAAAATTGAACCCAGATCCTCCGGGTCTTCATACAATTGAATTAACTTTTATACATTATTTCCAAACGACTTGAGGTCAATTTAAGAATTACAATTTGTAATGAAGAGTTATAGAGGATTAATAGAACAAAAAATTTTGTCTGGATTTAAATTTGAAATGAATAAAAGACTTTAGGCCATAATTATAGATGGATAGCAAGTGTACTTCTCCCTTTTATAATCATTGGGGAGTGGTAAAGGTAAATTGTTTGGCTGCTTACAATCTTGTACATTAATGAACAGTGCAATCTTGTATTTCTTTGTTTAAAACAGCTGTCATACTGAAGCATACTTAATGAATGAATCTTGCCTCCTGATACAAGCAGTCAACCTGGAGGTAAGCAGGAAAAGTGACATATACATTAGGCCAGTGTTCTGCCAGGAGGAGACATTTCCTTACCAGAAGGTCTCACTACCAGCCTACTCAGCGCAAGGACAACTCAACACTGGCATCAAATTCATAGCCCCAGACCAGTATTGGCTGTCATAGTGTGCACATCTCTTAGATCAGTCGTAATGATTTTCAAAATCTGGCTGTTTGTCTTGGTAAATGATTAGTTACAACAGCCTATTTGGCTGACTGGTGAGAACATTGCACAAGGAAGATCAGACAAACATGCTGAAACAGCAAAAAGAAGAACTGCACACAAAACTAGGGAAGGAGCACCCCCCCCCCACAATATGGAGATTCATTATGGGGCTGCAAAAGGCACAAAAAAACAGAGATACCTTCTTTGAGCATTTAATTGAAGGTCATCCCCCATTCCCCTAAATTGAAGAAGTCTATGAAGGTAGGCGAAAGAATTTTGCAAGTTGTTTTTTCTTTTTCACAATGATTTCCAACTGAATATTTCAAGGGAATTGCAGACAATTTTCAATAAATTTTTAAATTAAAAATAATGTATTAAAAAAAAAAAAAAAAAAATGAACCTTAATAAATTACTTCTATTTGTTTTTAAAAAGTTGACAAAAAAAATTTCATAGTTTGTATGCCATTGAGTTGTCCTTGCACTGAGTAGGCTGGTACCAAGTTGTCCTTGAGTTGTCATGAAGATGAGTTGGTAGTGACAAGTCATCCTGCACCTATGATCTGCTGCTTGAACAACATAGTATTTGAAAATTAATTTTACCAAATTTTGCATAGATACTAAATTGATTTTAGGTAGAAAACCAAAGAGCAACACTAAACCTAAATAGAGTGCACAGAAATTTTGATCCTTGGAAAAAAGAAAAAAAAAGCACTAATCCATATATAAATAATCCTTACTATTTTACAAAATGAGAGCAACTACTATTATTATAATGATGATGCTCCTATTTTTAGAGTTGAAAATCAGTTTAGTGACCATAAAGTTTTCTATAGTTTTTAAAACTGAATGCATTTCCCATTTCTTGCAGCTGTTCTTCCCCGACAGAGGAATGTAATTTATTAAGCTAATAATGAGGAGATCAGTTGGGCAAACAAAGAGTTAAACTTTTCATCCAATTAATCATAGGGCATGAAGTCCCAAAAAGGTCAATATTGTTGCGTTATGGCAGAGATATGATGAATGAGAACAATGTTTTTAACAATCAAAAGATCACTTCCACCTCCCAAAACTCGTTATTAATTATTATAAGAATACAAGGTTCCCTTATTTTGCAAATTGCAAATCTGATATCAGCTGAAATAAAAAAAAAAAAAAAAAGAGAGAGACAGATAGATATATAGAGAGAAGTGTTGGTATTTCTGCTGAGAGCAGACTCCAACTTACCTGGCTTTTAGCATAGCCGGGAGGAGACTCCATTTCAGGTTGCACAGCATACAAGTGCCACAATGGTTACAAATCAGCTGAGGAGGAAGGAGAAGGAAAGGAGGACTGCAACAACCTTATGAGTGTGCCTGCTGAGGTGACAGACAAACAGAGACATTAACCGATTCCAAAATAGTGAGGTCTTTTACTGCCGCAGCGGGGGACATGATGCAATTGATCCATCCCGCCAAAGCAGTATTAAGCAAGAAGCATTCACCCCCACCAAACCCCATTGTCTCCCCCTTTAAAAATACAAATGTTTCAATTAAGAAAGAAAGAATTGCAACTTTAGCAATATTGGAGACAAAAAAGCAGAGACAAAGCAAGCAGTATTTTATTTTTTTTTTCCTTCTCTCTAATGGGTTGGTGAATAAAAACAAAAATATTGACTCATTATTCTAAAAGTGCAAGATAGTGAAAAGTAACAAAAGGGCTACAGTAATAAGAAGTACCAATTGATACTTTCAGTTGAATACAAAAAAATGGGTTTAAAATAAAATAAAAATAAGGAGAGAGAAAGAGAAAAAAACAAAACGTATGTATATTCACAGACACACACACACACACACAAAACCAAGTCTATATTCAAAATGTTATGCGGGGGTATCCTCTCCATACTTTGGCAACCGAGTTATGGAAAAAAAAAAAAAAAATTGAGCAGGATTTTCTCTTTTGTCCCACAGAATAAAATTATTCAATGACAGAATTACTACTCCTAGTAATTTCTCAAACACACACAAAGGACAAAATGCAAGGTGACTAATTTTCAAAATACATTATTTTAAAAAGAAAAACTACAACTGTCAAAAAGAAAAATGTTAAAAGAAAAGGAAAAAAAAAAAAAAATAATATATATTTTCAATAAATTAAGACTTTCAATTTTTATTGAATATTATAACTCTAAATGTCTATTGAGCTTTTTTTTTGGCTAAAGTTCTGCTATCCTGAAAAAAAATGTAAAATTTTCACATTTTTTATATATATATATATATATATATATATATATATATATATATATATATATATATATATATATACACACACACACAAAAAAACAACAAGGAAAAGCTTAGCACATCAAGAAAATATTGTAATA